AAAATAATTGTGTACCCTTTTGTTTCTACAAATTGAATTTGATGATAAAGAGAATGACAATAATTGTGAAATTAGGACATGGTACATTAAAAATGTATATTTTACCCAGAATGTAAACACCAACATTCTAATTAGGAAATTCATGCCACACACAGCTCAACACTTCATTTCTCCTGATCCTCACATGCTATCTGGTGCTACTTCAGTAAAAGAAAATTCTCTCCCAGTCTTGTTTTTCACTGGAAGCACCAGTGGTGTCCTCTTTCTTTTCTATCACTCACGGCTGGGAGGAAGGGCTGTGAGCTGGGAGTAGGTGAAAGAGGGCCTGGTGAGGGAACTAGGGAAAGGACGTCTCTTAACTTTCTTAGAAAAACATTTACCCCAGCAGCTAAGCCCTCTTCCTTAGGTGTCACTGAAAGTGGGGCCCAGGTAGAAACTGTTAGTTCATTGGTTGGCCACAAGAAAGAACATTCACTCATGTTTCAAAAGAAAGGAAGAAGTCCTTTAAAAAAGTTTCAAATAGTTTTCCAGCAGCAATGCTTTTTTTTGGACAGCACTTCTGGTACATTTACAGGGGTTTTTGTATTTTACAGTGCTGGACTTGAAACCCACAGCCTTGTGCATGCTAGGCAAACTTCATTACTGAGCCACATTACACAAACATCCCCAGGCCACATTGGAGACTTTTAAATAGGTTTTGGTAGGCTAGATCAGAGACACAAGCTTTTTAGCATGGGCTCTGGGGGAAACTTTAAAATGTGAATAGCATTTTTAAGATTATACCAATTTGCAAAATTGGCAAGATGAAAGTCTAGTCCATTTGGAAGATTTTAACAGGTTTTTTTCTTTTTATTTCTTCCTTTTTTTTTTTTTTTTAAGAGACATAGAAAGGTTGAATTAAAGTACACGCTCAGAGAAGGCAGAGGGTGAGCAAATTCTGAAGTAATTTCAACCTCCTTGACTCAGTTAAATCTGTCATTGTGTTACGTGACCAGTACTGTTTATAGAGACCCTGAGGATAGAAGAGTAGCAGAAAAGCATCTCTAAGCTGTGCAGTGGGTGGGGTGAAGCACACCTGTAATCCCAGCACTTAGGGACCCTGAGGCAAGACAATTGCAAGTTTGAGCCCAGCCTAGACAGTTTAGTGAGTTAGTGAGAGCCTGTCAAAAAAAAAAAATCCCGAAAGAAAATGTAGGGATGCTGCCCAGTGTTAAGGTCCTGGATTCCATTTCTAGGAATGCAGTCATTGTACTTAACTCGATTTTCCACACGGCAGGGAGGGCCCAGTGTGACCAGTGATGGACCAGAGGGCAGAGGAGAGTGAGGAAGCTTGTTGGGAGGACTTGGAGGGGAGGAGCGGCTTTGCTGGCAGGGCCCTGGCTCCATGGGTGGTTAGGGGAGTTCCTTTGAAAGGTGCTGCTGTTTCTGAGAGCACTGCAGACCGAACTGGAGTGATGTAGAGAGAGAAGTACCATTACATGGAGTCAGTTGTGGTGGTGGGTTCATGCATAGGCTTATTGGCATATGAGAGAGACAGCATGGCTGCATTAATAAAGCTGTGTCATTTGTTGGTATAGCCATGGCTAGGTGGTTTACAAGCAGCTGGCATTAGCTTTGTCAGATGATTTGGGAGTGGAGAGTGATATCTCTTGTCAAGTTGGAATGCTTTTTGCTCTTACAGTATTTAAATATTTGTTGTTAGCCCATTTTTCTTCTTTCGCAGGTAAAAAACAAGAAGCAGATGAGTTGAGTGGAGATGCTTCTGTGGAAGACGATGCTTTTGTCAAGGTAAAGTGTTAATTACTCAGGTTAAGATGTTTGAGCCTACGATTTTGCACTTCTCATTTCTTGAATTTAATTTGAATGCATTGAAATATGTAGGTTAAATATTAGAGACTTAGAGAATACTGTCAACTTCATTAACTTTCATTACTGAGAAATACAATAAATGACTTCTTCTTTCGTAAAATGAGACATAAAGCTAAAAGCTAAAAATAATCTCTCCAGTCCTGTAAAATCTGAGACATAAGGGCTAGGGGAACAGCTACAGACAGTTGATACATTAGTTACTAGACAAGGTGATATCCTGAAGGATATTGATAATTTTTTAATCTGCTCATTGCATTTAACTTTTGTACATAATATATAGGACTCAGATCAATGTAAGACTTTTTAAAAAATTTTTAATGTAAGACTTTAAAATGGAAAAAAATTTACTTTTGTTATTTGGTTAAAGATCAATTTTTGCCCTTTAAAAATAGCTAAGCCCTCCAGGCATGATAGCTCAGGCCTGTGGTCCCAGCTCTTGAGAGAGGCTGAGGCAGGAGGATTGCTGCAAGTGTGAAGCCAGCCTGGGCTACATAGATCCTGTTTTATAAAATTAGAAAAGATAGCTATTGCCAGGTATTTTTTTTTGGTTGAGAAGGAAGCAAATCAGAAGTGGCCAGCCAGAAAAATAAAGTATGTAATATTAACTGGGGCTGTGGTAGTTTCATGTACTGTAGATACAAATAAGTTCATTTTAATTGTAGTTGGTTCTTATTTTAATGAAATTTACTCTTTATTATGTCTTAACTATTGTGGCAGTTGCAGGTATTAAGGAGAATTGTTCCTCACAAATCATGTGCATTTTACCTCCATATGTTGTTCTCTGTGCGCACTTGGTCTGTATTGTCATAGTGTCTCTGGGTGTTTGTTTGCTCCACCAGGAAGTCAGCGCATCTCCCTCCACCTGGCTCTTTCCTCCTTCCTTGCTCTGAACATCCCCCTGCCCCCCATACCATGCCACACCACAGAGCTTGCGCTGTGCACCTTTAACTTTGGGGCCAGGCATGGAGAAACAGGAGATGTAGTTGAGCTAACCTTGAAGTATTTACCCAGGGATCCGTTAAAATTAATGATTGTATGCCTGTAATTGGCTTTTGGTTAGCTTTTAAGAACTCTTCCATTTTGGTACTCTGGTTATCCTGTGGTTTACCTTGCATTAGGTCGGTTCCTCCATTTTATTCTGTACAGTTGTCTTCACTAGTAAGTGTATGATTAAGCAAAAATTATCTGTAGGTTGGAAAAACATTGTGACTTTGTAAAAATCTTTCAATTTTCAAATGTCTCTGATTTTTTTCACTTCATGTTAGTCATTTTAAATGGTACATGGAGACTTACACATCTATCCAAAGAATGATATTACTATCTCATGTATGTGCCACAAAGGATGCTTTTGCCTTACGATTAAGCGAATCTGGTCATAATGCTAGCAGAGCAAAGAGCAAAAGAACTTTTTAAAAGATGTTATTTGAATATATCTTCAGTTTATTTTTATTGTGGAAGTATCAGCATATGCGTTTGATAGAAATTAAGCAGATATATTTTCCTTGTCTAATTTTAGAATTTTTACAATAATGGTAGGTAAACATCACCTATTGCCTCATAAAAATTATTTCTGCAGATAAATGAGGAGACTGGCCACAGTTGGCAGCTGAAAACAGGTGAAGTTCTCTCAGTGCTTCTCGCTCTTGTTTGCTCCTATTACCTGCTACTGTCACTCTCACCTCCCGCGCCCCTGCCCTCCTGTGGGGGAGTGGTCAGGCCTGAGCGGCTGTCTCCCACCATGCCGAATCCAGAGCCACTTCACTCCTCTCTGCCTCTTGCAGAGTGCACCTCTCGGTGGTTCATAGTCCTGCCCCTGTACTTTGCCCTTTCTCATCCAGAAACCTTTTCTTAAAACTGCTGGGACCTAGGTTTTCTGTGAGAATAGTGAGGGAATGTTACTGGTTTTCACTCTCTACAGTCGGTGAAAGAGGAGACTAAGCAGATTGCTGCGTATGTGTGCAATGAGGTATCAGATGTTCACAAACTTAGAAGGGCACACAGACCGTCTTTCACAGACCTGATTCCAACCTGTGTTTCCACAGTGACAGTCAAAACAAATACATTTCAGTTAGTCTTTGTATATTTTTCTCAAGAACATTGATGCAGCTTTTGGGACTTTCTTATTAATTAGAAGTAAATTTTGTGTTTTGACATAGAAGACTTCTAGGGATTTTAAAGTTAAATCCAACTCTGGTGCATAGAGAAATCAGATTGTTTCTTTGAGATCATATCTTCTGGAGAGCTCCTAAAATAAATAATGGTAAATATTGGCTTAGTAAATTTTAAATAACTGGAACTTAAAAGTGTTTATCTCTAATAGCAGCTCAGATAGCATGCATTTCAATGTGAGAGGTTTGAGAGTTCAGACTCATACTTTCAGGATATTGGTGTCAGACTCTTATATATGAAAGGTAAAACAACTTAACTTTGGGTCTATCAAAATATGATCACATTTGATACATGTAGAGATGTAAGTTACCAAAAAACGTTTGGTGGATAGCCTACACTATTTTGCCTCTAGTTGTACCAAATTTTCTTACCATTAAAAGGACTGTGAATTGGAGAATCAAGAGGCACATGAACAAGATGAAAGTGACGAAATAAAGGATTCTGAAGAATTTGGTGAAAATGAAGAAGAAAATGCGAATTCCAAGGAGTTACTTTCTGCTGAAGAGAACAAGAGAGCTCATGAATTAATAGAGGCAGAAGCAATAGAAGATGTAGAAAAAGAGGACATCGAAAGTCAGGTCTTTAGCCAGTTTTGTTAAAACATGACACGGATAAATTAAGTTTTAAATTATAAAAATATTTTTTTAGTTCAATTTGGAAGTCGCAGAATTTTTTAAAAATTTAGGTTGCTTATAAATTACTTAGAACTTTACCACCTTAGGTGACCTTTTAAAAGTTTTGCTTATTTCACGTATGTATGTTTTTATAGTAGTTATACCATAAGTTGCTATTTATTCTGTATTCTACTTTCACATATCATAGTAATGTTATAATCCACATACTATATGTACCATAATTTATTAGACTGCTTTGTATGTATCTAATGGCCATTGCTGTAATTTTGAAAATTTAGGATTTTTTTTTCCCTATGCTATGAATTAGTGTACCAATTTCACTCTGATCTTGCCAGCATTATTTGGTGGTAGGATCCCCCCAATTTTAGAAAATGTAAAAGCCACTTTAATCTTCATTTCTTAATGTATTATTGAAGGTGGGAAATTACTTAATGAAAGTTTAATTTTAAAGCAGTTATTCAAATCTGCTCTTTGAAGTAGACTGTTCTGCTTTAAAATATGTTAGCACATCTTAACAAAATCCAAGGATTAGGGAAGTCAATGCTGTTGGAACTTGTGCTTAAAACACTTTCCTCCTACCTAGCCTAACAATTTAGAAGCTCAGGATTTTTCTAATTCTGTAGCAGTGTGACTAATTTTTTATATTGGCCTAAAAAAATATAGTGTAAATTCTTGAGCATTGAGTACCCACAGAATCAATATATGAGGCAAATGATGATCAGGTATAAGCATAAAAGCATTCTCATGTTTCCAGATGTTTTGTAAAGCAAAGCTATTGTATACCCTTTTACTTAGGACATTGAAGCTCAAGAAGGTGAAGATGATACCTTTCTAACAGCCCAAGTAAGTTACATTTAGTCCTACAAGTTTGATGTTGTGGGTGGAAGGGATGACTTAGCAAAGGAATCTTAATTTGACTTCATGATTTTGATTTCATAGAACTGCCTTAATTTCAATACTGAGTTACTTTTGTGGTATATGCAAATACTTAAAACTATTGACAGCTGAAGTTTCTGTTGCCAGAAAGGTAATTGGGAGTTATGAGCTTCCTGTCATTTTCAGAATTAAACATCTGTCCTTCTTGTAAACCAGCAGTCTTTTAAGATGCTATAATTGGCTTGATATCTTGGTACTATATAATGTAGATGATTTTAAAATAGCAATATCCTTTTCAAAGCTTTATTTGCTTTGGGTCTTTATTTTTTTAAATTTTTGTTTTTTGAGACGGTCTCAGAGTTCAGATTGGTCTTGAACTCACAGTGATCCTCCTGCCTCAGCCTTTGGAGTGCTTCAAAGCTTTATTTAAACTACTGTTAATTTTACCATTACTAGGCTGAGTTTAGACTAAAGTGATTGGCTGCTCTCAAAGTTTATTTGGTATATGTGATATTAATATTGAATATTTTAAAACATGATTACAGATGCTATAAACAGATTTTTATAACTCAAAATTTGTGAATGTTGTTGTTGTTTGAGACAAGGTCTCATTCTGTGGCCCAGGCTGGCCTCGAACTCAGGGCAGTCCTCCTGCTTTAGCCTGGCAAGTGCTGGGATTACAAGCGTGAGCCACATGCCCAGCATCAAACTTTGCCGTTTTAAAAATTGTTCTTTAGGCCTGGGGATTTAGCTCCCTGGTTTCGCCACTTGCTGTGCAAGCACAAGGACCCGAGTGCAATCCCCGGTACCAAAAACAAAACAAAACAGAAATTGTTCTTTGTCCTTTTTTTATTTCTGTTCTCAAGAACCCTTTGTTCATGTACCCTCTTTAAATGCTGACCTTGGAAACAGATAGAATCTTCCTCGTTTACTATTTTTAGTAAAACTAGTGAGTAGGTCTGTTGTTTTCCATGCTGTAGTGTCTGCTAGGAGGGCAGAAGGGCTCCTGCTCGTGTCTATGGCCCGCCTCACTGGCTGCCTCTGGCCCTCTGCTCTTCTCTGCCTCTTGCTTGCCCTACATGCTGGTCAGCCACAGGTGCTAGTGAGGCTTCCCTTCTGTTCGTGGCAGTGGAGAAGTGCTATTTCTGGAAGAAACATTTCTGATCATTTCAGATGTTCAGGAGGGAAATGAAATACTAGGACTGACAGTCTGTAGGCCTGTCACTCTGCCTGTCCCCCAAGTACATTGATTCTTGTTTTCATTTGTTGGGAACAGTGCTACATAATTCTAGGGAAAAATCATTTGAGTAGGCCTAGTTCTCCTGCCTACAGCCCAGCTAGGACATTCCAGACATAACTGCATTTTGGCCTCTGGTCACAACTGAGACCTCAGTGATCCCTGGATGCTGTAATCTCCAGGACAAGACCACACCTTCAGGAGACGCCAGGGAGGAACCAAATCCTCATCTGCATAGTTCCTCATTTTTCTTAGATTTCCACTGCCCCCCAGCGTTTTGTTACACCTTGTTTATCCTAATGTGAAGTACTGAACTCTATATTTCACTTGTTACATTTGTTTCCCCTTGTACTGAATAAAAAGTGCTGCAAGCTAGGGGGCCTTTGTCTTTGCGGCCCAGAGCAGCACTGATCAGACCCAAAGCTCAGCTTCCTCTCAGTCTCATTTTTCTACCTTTCCTGTAATTCGCCATGTGCTGCCGAGGCTCACAGGAGACCAGGACTCAACTGCAGAGGTTCTGGTAACGTCGTCCCCTTCCCCTGTTCTCTACATTCATAGGTAAGGAAGAGTTCAAACTGGGAGAGTACTTTTCTAGATTACTGATTTGCAAAAGAGTGGAATTCAGCTCTTCATATTCTTTTAGCAACCACCTTTCTAAGTTCCATCAAGGGCAACAGTATTTTGAAACAACTTTAGGGATATAAATTGTTTCAATCCAGTTATAATTTATATATTGTGATTGACTGAAATGTTTATTAGGTCTCTTTTTAATCTGTAGGTTTTCCTCTCCAGTTTATTTTTCCCTCTGTTTTATTTGTTGAAAAGTTTAATTATTCATCCTGTAGAGCAGAGCTTGGCAAAGTTTTTCTGAAAGGGCCCTATAGTAAATGCTTTAGGCTTTGTGAGCCATCTGGTCTTTGTTGCAATTACTCAGCTCTGCCACCATAGTGTGAAAGCTGCCATTGACAGTGTGTACTTGAATGGGCATGGCTGTGTTCCAGTAAACATATTTCTGAAAGCAGGCGTCTGGTGCAGTTTGCCAGTCCCTGCTGATCACATTCCTGTTGAGTCTTTCAACACATTCCGCTGCTTACTATCAGACTCAGGGCTGAACTGCACGCGTCCACTTCCTGGGCAGTGTTATGTTCTTCCATTGGGATGTGCATAATACCTGGTGTATTGTGAGGGTGCATAATACCTGGTATACTGTGAGGATGATCCATGCTGTTTTGGGGGACAAGGTGTGATGTTCTCATACCATTACTTCTTTCTTCATTAGCTGGAATGTTTCTACAGAGAAACTCCCCTCATCTCTTTGGTTACCTACTACTATCATTTATAAAAGAGAGCCATAAGCCAGCCATAATGGCACATGCCTGTAATCCCAGCTCTAGGGAGGCTGAGGCAGGAGGGTTGTGAGTTTGAGGCCAGCTTGGACTACATAGTAAAACTCGTCTTAAAACAAAACAAAAACCACAAAGGAAAGTGAGGATATATGTTTGATTCTTTTCTTTAATACCAAAGTTTCATTAGTTGGTTCACCAACACCTCCAAGAATAATCATTGAGTTTTCAATTTTTTTTTTCCCTCCTAGTTTCACTTTGAACTCATGGATTGGATACATTTATTGTATACTTCATATTCATTTAATTCATTGCTCATTGCTATTCTTAATAATGCTCAAATTGTCCTGTGTTTAGCTAATGACAGACTCTTCAGGTTGGCTCTTGAGTCCTTTGAATATGATTTCTGTAGTCTGATTGACTCCTTGATTTCTGGTATGTAAAGATGTTTAAGTTTCCTGCTCCAAACCTGTATTAGCTGCTTCTTCCTTTTAGTTATATTTCAGGACAGCACCCTGGGTGGCAGTGGTGTTTATTGCTACTGAGTTCATAGTTTCTAGGCCTTTTCAATATACAGGGCAAGAGAATGTGTTGGAGGTTTTTTGCTTTGTTTGTTGTTTTTTTTTTTGGTACCGGGGATCGAACTCAGGACCTTGTGCTTGCAAAGCAGGCAGCGGAACCATTGAGCTAAATCCCCAACCCTGCTTTGTTCTTACTTTTTTTTTGGTTGGTTGTTCTTACTTTTAAGATGAAATCAATTTTTAGCCAGGCGTGGTGGCACATGCCTATAATCCCAGTATGTCAGAGGCTGAGGCAGGAGGATTGCCACCTGTTTGAGGCCAGCCTGGGCTACATAGTGAGTTCAAGGCTGCCCTGAACTACATAGTGAGACCCTGTCTCTCAAAAAAATCCAATTTTTGGTTGATAGAGTCTTCCAAGTTAATGATTCCCTTTCTCTCACAGTGTCCATATACATCAGTGGTCTCAGGATAATACCATCACTACTTTCCAGTGAGATTACTAAAGATAATTTAGGGCTTTTTTTCGCTCCAGGTGTATTTGTCATAAAGATGCGCCCCCCCCCCATGAATAAATGACGGAACAAATTAGTGTTTTTATTTTAAGTATTTTAATTAATAATTACAGAGTTTTATCCAAGTGCTGTACCACTGAGCTACATCCTCATCCCTCATTTTAGATTAGTTCTGCTGTTTGATTATATCACCATTATTTAGGTTGATTTGCTCATTTATTTTTAGTACTTAAATATTGCTTTAAAAAGTTTAATTTGTAACTTGTAAATTTATAATTATTTCAAAGTAAAAATGTTAATTCTATCCTAATTTTATAAATATTTAAAATATTTACCTGATTCCAAAGTCAAAACCTTGTGACCTGATATCCAGAAAAGTTTCCTTCACCCAGTTTCCTGCCATCCCTTTATTAATTACCTTTTTCAAAAATCATGATTTATTCTTCAGGCATTTACCTTTAGGCAATATATAGAACTTGGCTCAGATTCTGCTTCAGTTAGTTGAATTATAATGTGACGTGGCCAGGTTTTCTTACTAATTTTCTAAATGAAAATTATAAGTCATGCCTTGCGAGATTGGTGTAAGGAGTAACCTCAGGTCCTGCAACACAGAACTTGTGCAGCTGGTGGTCACTCGAACTGTTTTACAAGCTTGACAATAGCAGTTACTTGACTTTTCTGAACCTTTTTTTCTCTAAAATGTTCTTGTTTGCTAGTACTTTAATTCTTAAAAATTTCCTTTGGTTTTCAAGAACTTCTTGACTTCCATGATCACATCATGTGTATTCCTTTTCCTCTATTCCTTTGTCCCTAATGTTTCATTAACCTGAAGGTCAGGCTGACCTTGAATTCACTCACTGTGTACCCCGGACTGGTGTTGAACCTGTGGCGATCTCCTGCCTCAGTCTCCTGAGTACTGGGATTACAGGTGTATGCCACAACGCCCAGCTGAGCTGTATATACCTTCAAAGGCATATTTGTCTCTGTATCCTCCATAAAGCTTTCCTAACTTCCTCTATCCTGTGGAATGTTATACTGATCATAGAGAACTTTTTTTGTTTTGTTTTTTTTTAGAGGAGGAAAGATTTATTTGGCTCACAGTTTGTTTTTTTTTTGGTACCGGGGATTGAACTGGGATCCTTGTGCTTGTGCAGCAGGCGGCGAAACCACTGAACTAAATCCCTGGCCCCTGGCTCACAGTTTTTGGATGTTTCAGTTCATAGTCAGCTGGCTCCAAGGCAGAGGGGCATGGAAGAGGAAAAATAGTCCACGGCAACCAGGCAGGTGAAAGCACATGTAGCCCTCTTTCTGTCCCTTATATCTTATGCAGGCTACCTGTCCTACTCAGGGTGTAGCCCTCACACCCTTAATCCTAGCCAGAACTATGCCAAACCAATCAGTGGTGTGATATACCCTTGATCATACACCCTTGATCCCACCACACACTCTAGTCCAGCCACCTCTGAACAGCCCACAGAGAACTTTTTAACCCTTGATATATTTTATGTCACATGTCATCTCTATTTTATCAGTTAGATTTGTGTAGATGAATGACAGGATGGCCAAACTGTAACCCAAAGTCCACTTACTTATCACAGTGTCAACACTGAAATTAATCCTGAATACAGAGGTTTTATTTTAGAAAAAACAACTCCCACATTAACATCTTTTGTATTAAAAGAAAAATAATATCCTTGCTGTAGGTTCACCACCACTACCATAAAGTAAAACTGTCTCTGATAAAGACAGGGTAAGTACCTAGGCCCTACGATGCCTCATCTGGTATTCTTTTGTCTAAATGACCCCCAAGAATAAATGTTTTCTGACTTCTGTTGTACTTACACAGTGCTGAAGTTAAGCCTTCAGAAACATTAATGCCTTACGCTACATTTGTTGAGTGAATTCGTCTCAACAAATATTTATTGAGTGCTTATTATATGCCACATGTTTTGTATTTCTCCCATTGTTCAACGTATTGCCAGATAGAAGTCAGTTACTGGCTTAAGGTTATTTTATAGATTTATTCAGTCAGCCTAAATACTGTGTTGTGTGGTTTTTTTTTTTAAATACTGTGTTTATATTGCACATCAGGGGAAAGGAGATTTTTCTTAGTGCTGACATGTTCCTGTATCACAAGCTCAGCCTAGAGAAAGACAGTAAAATGGTTATGTAGTAAACATATAGTTAAATAGAAGATGAAGTCCTAGGCTTGACTAATTTATCTGTGAGTAGTCACTGCTGCTCCTGGGATGAAATGAAGGTAGAAGAGGAGCTTTGTATTGTCTTAGCCTCTGACTACAGGTTGTAGTTCCCCACTAGAGAGATAAACAACATGAGTACCTAGATATTTTTATAGGTGAAGTACTCTATTTTTTTGAGGTAAAAGCAAAAAGGAGTCTGTAATTCAGTAAATTATTTTCAAATAGATGACATAGATGTGTGTATATGTAATTTATGGAGAAAAACTTTCCCGTTGTCTCTCTTGTGTTTCTTGGTTTGTTTTCCTGTTACAAGGAATTTGGGGCTCATGTAGAACCTCAGATTAACTTCAGTAGTGTTGTGCTTACTGCACAGACTGCATAGTAACATGAATATGCACTTCTATAATGTGATTCATCTTTCCTACTACCTGCTTGTTGTCGTGCTTTACCACCATTGTAATGGGTTTCATTTCCTAGAAGCTGAGTCAGGCCCTTTTACTGTGGGCATTTAAGGTTATGTAATAAGGATAGTGTAACCACTATGTGGAGAAACTTAGGAATTTCTTCAAAAGACATGTTAACGTAAATATCTAAAAATTCCTGAGTAAAGACAAAGCATAACCTATTACTGTAGCTCCTAGAAATAACATTTCTAATTGACAGAAACTACAACAGAAATCATTTTGTTTTTTACTTCATAGTATTCTAAAAGTTTTACTTTTTTTTTTTTTTTGGTACAGGGATTGAACTCGGGTCCTTGTGCTTGTGAGGCAGGCAGTGGAACAACTGAGCTAAATCCCCAGCCCCAGTTTTACTCTTAAATAGCAGATCATCTGGACATTATTTTCTTGACCCTAGTCTATGTTGAAGTAGTGTGTTAGCATCACAGGTAAATTAAGGAAGAGTCAAACTGCATTTAAAATTCTGCTTGTAAGTCAGTTATGTGTCCCCATTTATTTAACCTTTCAAGATAAATAGTAAAATAAGAGTTTGAAAGGAAAAGAGGTATTCAGAATTTAAGTATAACTAGGGCTGGGAATGTAGCTCAGTGGCGCTGCGCCTGCCTGGCAAGCTCAAGGTCCTGAGTTTGATTCCTGGTGTGTGTGTGGGCCGGGGGGGATTTAAGTATAACTCATCCTTCCCTGACTGCCACTGCCTGCCATTCCACCTAAAGAAAAGTGTTCTTTCCTTTCCAAATGTGACAGATTAGAAGTGTGATTAAAATTTCAAGTGTAGCTATTTAAGAAATTCCTAGCTTGCAGTATATAATACACTTACATAATAATGGGATTTACATTGCTACCAATTAATGATTTAATTGTTACAAACTGTTTTACATTCACACCTTGTGGCTTGTGCTTAATTCCAGTTTCTTCATGTTCCTTTAGAATGTACAGTAATGGCTCATTTCCTGATTGGGCACTTACGTATTAGTCAAATCATTTAAAATGACTTTTTAGAAATGTGACTGCTCCTATACAGTTTCAGGCACATGGTAAAAATTTGCCATCTTAAGGAATTTTTGTTTTTATATAAATCTGATACTGTGTTACAAGATAGAAATGTCATTTAAAGCTTTATTCACATTAAACCTTTTGCTGTGAGTCTTTTACTGATAGGCTGGCACTCTGAGGGAGAAGCTGTCAGTGCTCTCCCGAGCCCAGCGTTGGCAGGCCCTGGAAGCTTGCTAAGACACATCTCAGTCACATGCTGGGCTGGTGCTCAGGCTGTGCCGTAACACGCCTTCCAGGAGATTCTGATATGTGGTCATGTTTGAGAATCCCTGCTTTTTTTTTTTTACCAGGGATCGAACTCAGGTCCTTGTGCTTGCACAGCAGGTGGCGAAACCACTGAGCTAAATCCCCAGCCCAGAGAATCCCTGGTTTGTATGCAAGCTTTGTATGCAGTAGTTTACACTGCCTCACCTAAAACTGCTCTTCAGTTTTTATTTTTATTTATTTTTGATTTCTTGAGACAAGGTCTTTTTATGTAACCCAGGCTGGCCTTGAACTTGCAATCCCCCTGCTTCAGCACTTCTAAGTGTTAGATGTGGGCCACCATGGCTAGCTCAGTTTTTATTTGAAAGTTGTATTTAAGGGCCGGGGATTTAGCTCGGTGCCACACCTGCCTCCGAAGCTCAAGGTCCTGAGTTCAATCCCAGGTACCAAAAAAAAAAAAAAACCTAAGAACTAAAACATTCCCTGCTGTGGTGGCACATAACCTGTCCCTGGACTCCAGAGGCTGAAGCAGGATGATTGCCAAAAGTTTAAGGCCAACCTGGGCAACATAGTTGAGTTCAATAACAGATTGGACTATATAGGTTTCCAAAAAATTAAAATTTGTAAAATTTAAAAGAGCTGAGGGTGTAGTTTAGTGGTGTAGAGTACTTGTCTAGCATGTGCAAGGCCCTTGCTTCAATCCTAAAAAAGGAAAGCTAAAACATTTTGTAGATTTTTGTTGTTGTTGTTTTAAGATTGTAGCATATATTACTTTATTTTTCTTTATGGTGTCATTGGGGAATTGGGAATATCATATCAGAAAACAGTATGATTATTTGTGTGATTTTTTTTGGTGGGGGCAATATTTTCAAAATACAGAAAAAAAATATTTTTCTTTTGTGGTACTCCTGTTTTCAAGCTAGCATATTGTTAAATGAAAATATCAAATATTTTAAAATTCAAATCATTTTTAAATGACTGCATTTCTTGTTTTATGTGTAGTACAAATACTATTTTTAAATTGAATGGCCACCAGTATATGTGATAACTTGATTCATTTTGAACAGATAAAAAGAATGAGTAACTTAGCTAGGTGTGGTGTGTACATCTGTAATCCCAGCACTCAGGAGATGGAAGCAGGAGGATTGCTGTGAGTTTAAGCCCAGCCTGGGATGCGTAGTGAGTTCAAGACTAGCCTGAACTACATAGGGAGACCCTCCTCAATTAAAAAAAGATTGAGTATTTTGAAATTGACTGTTGTAGTAGTCACCGTTCTCTCTGACATGTTTAAAAGGAGATTTGTTGTTGTTTTTTGTTTTTCTTTGAGGCAGGGTCTTACTGTGTTGTTCAGGCTGGCCTTGAACTCCTCGAGGTGATCCTTCTGCCTCAGCCTCCTGAGTACCAGGATTAGAGGCAGCACCACACTGCACCTGACTTGGCTTTTGTTTATTAATGTACATTCAGACCCTTGACAGTATATGTCTACAGGTTATACTTTTCTGGTACTTTCTGATTAATGTGTGCTATGGGCACCTGTGAACTGAGTGACATAAAATAACCAGGTCAGTCTTATTATTGGCAGCTTGGTAGGAGGAAGATTTGAATTCTATGAACTAAATGCGAGTCATGAAACTGTTCCACTTGTTTGTTGCGGTAGTCATTGACAGCTTTGCCTGTTCTTCTCTAAAATTGTATTATATCAGGCCTGTGCCATGTATCTCTAATTTATTAGAATGTCGTGTTTGTTAGTGATAGGTGTCCTAATTCATATTATTAACTTATCCACCAGTTTAAATTCACTGGTTTAGTGGTACTAGTAAAGTTTAGTTTTATGCGAATTCATTTTACATTTGATTATTCTTTAAATTTCAGGATGGTGAGGAAGAGGAAAATGAGAAAGGTATGTTTGATGCTAAGTAGAGTGTAAATTGCTGACTTAAAAAGTACATTATGTGAAAATAAAGCATTCTTTATTTGAAATCTTAATTTTAAATGAGTTTATTTTTCAAATTTATCAATGTAGTGAATTAAGTTAGTATCTTGGTTTATTTTTCAATTGATTTTAATTTCCTTTTGAACACATGTTCTAACTGAATGGTACATATCAGTTACTGTATTGAACATGCCATTTTTTACTTTAATTTTAATTTCATTTTAAAAGTAACGTAGAGTATACGGTAAGTGGATTGTGTCCTTAGGACAACACTGCAGTAACTCATACGTGCTTACTGGAGTCGCGCTGTGTGGCTCCTAGGCAGCTAGCCCTAAGTGTGCTGAGTGACCAGAACACTGACTTGTGTTTGCTGCTTTGAGAACTGTTATGCAGGCTTCTGACAGGTGTAGTAGTTTGAGAGCTATCTCACCCAACGTAATTACGAGGACAACAGTAGCAATACGTGTTGCTCAGTGTGAGGTTGAGTTCTTGGACAGAAGTCAAAGAATTCTTGGGCTAGAAAAGGACACGGAGCAGGTTTCTAAAAAAGGCAGAGGAAAAGCCCAGACCAATGATGAGTGAAATGAAGCTACTGACTGCAAACCTCACGCACCTGAGAAGCCTCTCAATTTTGTGGGAATGCAGGATGTCTTTGAAAATGGTAATTGCGGACTGACTGGACAGGATGAAGACTGGAAATGGCCGATTTCACGGACATTATGGAGCAGGAGCGTCTTCAGAGCCTTCGTAGCTGTTTTCCATACAGTCCTGGACTTCTGGGAGTAGAAGAGTGAAAAAGATGGGTCCTTGAAAACTTTGAAGACTGAGGATATCCTCAGCTGGTGATCTTCCAGGAAGTCACTGTGGGAGCTCTGAAGGCCCCAAGGGTTAAATCCTAAGGCGACACGAACATTGCACAACAAATCTGCATCCCATGGAGGATCAAAATCGCCCACCTGCCACTCACTTCTAACCAGAAATGAAGAGCTGGTATCTTCAGGATGGAACTCTTTTCTCACTATTGTTGTTTGATGTTTATATGTAGAGATCATTTTTCCCATGAAGATAAGTGATCCTGGGTAAAGGATTGTTTATGTTAGTCAATGCCCTGTGTTTCTCCCCCTAACCTTCCATCAGTGCTAATAACTGGCTTTATATTTTCTAGGTCCTATTCTAGGTTATGAGTATAAAATTGTTTAAACTTCTTGTTTTGCCATATTTATTCCTGTTAAATCCTCTTAGATATAGCAGGTTCTGGTGATGGTACACAAGAAGTATCTAAACCTCTTCCTTCAGAAGGGAACCTAGCTGAAGCTGATCACACAGCTCACGAAGAGATGGAAGCTAATGCGACTGTGAAAGAAGCTGAGGATGACAACATCTCGGTCACAATCCAGGCTGAAGATGCCATCACTCTGGATTTTGATGGTGATGACCTCCTAGAAACAGGTAAAAATGTGAAAATTACAGATTCTGAAGCAAGTAAGCCAAAAGATGGGCAGGACGTCGTTGCACAGAGCCCGGAGAAGGAAACCAAGGATTATGAGATGAATGTGAACCATAAAGATGGTAAGAAGGAAGACTTCGTGAAGGGTGATCCTGTCGAGAAGGAAGCCAGAGAAAGTTCTAAGAAAGCAGAATCTGGAGACAAAGAAAAGGATACTTTGAAGAAAGGGCCCTCGTCTACTGGGGCCTGTGGTCAAGCAAAGAGGTTTGTTTTTCTATGTCAGTTCTTTACGATACTGAATTCCAGCATTCAATAAGATCACTCTACATTAAGGGGGTGGCTTCAAGACCATGTACAGTAATTAGTGTCTTATGATCCTGCCTATAATATTTTTGACCGTCATAAGTTACTTTTTAAAAAATTCAAGATCTTCATAACATGCAGTGTGTCCTACTGATTGCTTTGTCAAAATTGTCAGCATACATTTGGTTCTTTTTGGTTGTTTTTGGTTTTTTTTTTTCCAATTGACAATTTTTTGTGTTTTATTTTTTAAAATCCTTGTGATGATGGTTAATGAACAACTATCAGTTCTAAGAACACAAAATGAAGCAAGTCCCAGTCCTGAAATCTGGAGAAGATGGCCATATATCCACTGAATAGAATTGTCAGAAAATCTAGATCTTCAGGCATCTTGGGGAAAATATCAGTAGAAGAATCCTAAGGGAATCATTTGGTCAAATAACCTAATCTGGGCTTTTGGAATTGTTAATTTGTATTAATAGTGCTACTTTGCAATATAGTCAATATCAAGCTGTTCGATTTTTGTTTTTGTTTTTGTTTTTTGTTTTCAATTTTCTTCTGGTGATTTGCCTCTTTAGCTCTTCCAAGGAATCTAAAGACAGCAAGACATCATCTAAAGATGACAAAGGTATTTTTCCTGTTTATTTCAGTGATTACATTGCCTGTTGTCACTAGAAGGGAATAGTTGCCTGATTTCCTTTGACATTCGGTCCTTAAAAATTTTTACAGACTGAAAATTATGTGTGGCCTTTTGGTATTGTAAAGTTAGATTATATGTAGCAAACTCTGTGATTAAATCATTACTCTTTTTAAACTGATATAAATATGTTTAAAAAACCCATTTGCTAGAGAAATTTATCTGTTGTGTTCTAAGCTACTGTATTACATATTGGTAGATACTTCATTTTCTTACATTATAATTTCAGAAATATGTTTAGTTGCAGTAGTCTGTGATCTCTGTACCTGACCGACCACATTTACTTCTCTGTCCTTTTCTGTTTAGGAGGAGATGTATATAATAAATAGTCCTTGTGCACATTTGTGGGGTCTAGTATGAAAACAAAAAGCAATCTCTTACATTTGGTTTTACTTTTTTCATTCTTTAAATGAGCTTAATTCTATTAATATACCTAGTATACAGTATTTTTTTTTTTTTGTACCGGGCATTGAACTCAGGACCTTGCGTTTGCAAGACAGGCAGTAGAACCACTGAGCTAAATCCCCAGCCCAGTATACAGTATTTTAATGCTTAAGAATTTATTTCCTAGCTTTTTGGGGGTTTTTTGGTACTGGAGATCGAACTCGGGACCTTGCGTTTGTGAGGCAGGCAGTGGAACCACTGAGGTAAATCCCCGGCCCTGCAGTGGATCAGCTGCCTGCCTCACAAGCGCAAGGACCCCAGTTTGATCCCCAGTACCAAAAAAAAAAAGAATAGAAAAGCATTGTCTTAGAACTCATACAGTTGGAAGTATATAAACTCATTCACACATTCATAAGATTTTGACTATGGTAAGGTCATGTTATTAAAACTGAGTGGATTTTATAGTTTGAAAGAACATTGTCTTCATTATTTGCAAAAACATTTCTGATTAAGATACTTAAACGTCTGATATTACATCTGTTCTAGGAAGTACAAGTAGTACTAGTGGTAGCAGTGGAAGCTCAACTAAAAATATCTGGGTTAGTGGACTTTCTTCTAATACTAAAGCTGCTGATTTGAAGAATCTCTTTGGCAAATATGGAAAGGTACATTCTTTTCACTTTCTTATGCATCTTTCTAATGTCTGCATTTGAAACAGATTATATTCAAAACACTATTATGTAAATATATTTACTTTTTGTGTCCCTTCAAGTGTTACAGGAATATTGTGTTCCTAGGTAATAGTAGATAAAGGTTAGGGCTAAAGCTGAACGGTATTTTACAGTCACTCTCACTCTGGGTTCTGGAGATTTTTGTATTTGAAACATAAACCCATTTGAGCCAAGGACTTGGTTTCATACTTTTTTTTTCTAGTAGCAAGCATGAGATCTGACACATTCTTGAAGTCAGTTTGGTCCTCTTGAAAATATAAGTAGGCTGGTTTAGGTAATAAGATATGTAAATTGGGGGAAAAACAACTGATCCCTATTACTAGACAGGGGTGTGTGTGTGTGTGTGTGTGTGTGTGTTTTGTAGATAATCAGAAGTTAATTCTAAATGCTATGAAGCAAAAATGTCAGGCATTACGAGAGAAAAGAGGCGGCTTTACTATGGCTCACATGGCAAGAAAAATTTCTCTGGCATTTCAGGGGAGACCTGAAAAAAGAGAAGTAGTATCAGTGGATACCTGTTGCATTGGAGTGCAATTGGTCTGTATTAGAACTCTTCAATACTTTGTATTTAATACAATATGTATTTTTTTTTTGGTACCGGGGATCGAACTCAGGTCCTTGCACTTGCGCAGCAGGCAGCGAAACCACTGAGCTAAATCCCCAGCCCAATATAATATGTATGGAAAACTAAAATGAATTAATACTCTAGTATAAGCTCTTGTAAATTCTTGTGTCAGATACAGAACACTGAGAATTGTAGTCACATAATCAGTTGTGGTATATCCTTTTTTTTTTTTTGGTATCAGAACCTTGAGCTTGCAAGGCAGGGAGCAGCACCACTAAGCTAAATCCCCGACACTTTTTTTTTCTATTTTAATAGTTTAAAAGTATTAAAACAGTATTTTAGTGTTGATATTTATTGGGGCTAAAACCACTTAAGGATACCATCCACTTGGTAACATGATATTGGGCTTCCCAGAACCGAGATAAAACCTGACAGTTTCTAGTGATGCACACTAAATAAAACCCCAAAGTTCCTTGTAAAGACAGCGTCTTGCCATGTAGCTCAGGCTGGCCTGGAACCCATGGCAATCATGCCTCAGCTTCCTGAGTGCTAGGATTACAGGTATGCACCACCACACCGAGCCTAAATTGTTTCTTGACATGTAAGATAGATGATGATTACAAGAATCTCAAACAACATACCTGGAACTGATCCTGCATGAATGTCCTATGTCTTTTACTTTGAATAGTGAAATTTCATCTTTTTATAAAAGTGTATAGTTATAAAGCTGTAAAATTTTCTAAAGTATATTCTCATTTTAATAGGTGCTAAGTGCAAAGGTGGTTACAAATGCTCGAAGTCCTGGGGCAAAATGCTATGGTATTGTCACTATGTCTTCAAGCACAGAAGTGTCCAGATGTATTGCACATCTTCATCGAAGTGAACTGCATGGCCAGCTGATTTCTGTGGAGAAGGTAAGTTTGCCTTACGGTTTGTAACAGGGAGATTAATGTGATGGCTGATTCAGGTTGAGCATCTCTAATCTGATAACCAGAATCTGAATGAAACTTCTTTGGTTTTCTTGAGACAGGGTCTTGCTATTTAGTTCAGGCTGGCCTTTGGATTCGCTATGTAGCCCATGCTGGTCTTAAACTCACAAAAATCCTCCTGCCTCAAACCCCCAAGTGCTGGGATTACAGGCATGTGCCACCATGCGTGGCCAAAATCTGAAGTTTTTTGAGTGCAACAGTGTTCAAAAAGTTTTGAACTTTGAAGCATTTTGAATTTCATATTTTCAGATTAAGGATGCCCATCTGGTAAAGTCTATGGAAATATTTCAAAATCTGAAACCTTCCCAGTTTCAGTCATTTCAAATAAAAGGTATTTAACTTGTAATTCTCACTTTAAAGATAACACTCGCAGAAAGTAAAACTGAGTGATTTTTATTTTTATGTATTTATTTTAAAATTTATTTTTCTGTAGTTTTTTTTAATCTTTACTGAATTTACTGTCACCAACCCACTTTTCATAGTCATAAAACATAAATTTACAGTTTTTTTTCTGGTTTAAACCTCTTAGGTAAAAGGTGATCCTTCTAAGAAAGAAATGAAGAAAGAAAATGATGAAAAGAGTAGTTCAAGAAGTTCCGGAGATAAAAAGAATATGAATGATAGAAGTAGCAAGTAAGGATTTATTCATTTTAATTCTGAGGGGTTGCTAGAAGAATTTTTTTTTTTTTTGCTTAAATTCTTTTATTGGTACATTTTAGGTATATAATACATTTACATTTATCATTGGGTGTTTGTACCTGTACATGATGTATCTTGGTTCTTATTTTTTCCCCATTACCTGTGCACCCTTCACCCCCTCCACCCTTCCCTATTTACATAGACTTTGTTTCCATTTTTTTCTTTTCTCATAATTTTTCCCTAGAAGAATTTTTTAAAAAAAATAAGCAGTTAAGACTTTTTGGTCCCCTAATGAAGTAGTTCTAAGTCTGTTTTCTTGTCTGGGCTGATATGGTCAGGACACAAACCTCTGTCAAGAAAGAAGAGAAGAGATTATCCGAAAAATCTGAGAAAAAAGAAAGCAAGGATAATAAGAAAATGGAAAGTAAAGAAGAGAAGAATGATAATGGAACAAGTGGCCAGATTTCAGAATCGAGTAAAAAAAATGAAGAAAAGAAACGAATAAGTATGCTGTCTTTCTTCTCGATCCCTTTCTAGTGCACTCTACAACTTAGCTTTTATAGTGAAGAGAAAACCCAAGGTGATAAAAATCCATATGACTGTTCAGATTTTTAGGTGTCTGTGATATAAAAGGAGGCATAGAAGGACTAATTGTCTTCTCCTTTTCTACTCTTGAGAAATGAGTATGTTCTTTCAATTAAGCTTTATTATGAAGTCTGAGTTGACTTGGGCTAGGGATCTAGCAAAAAAAATGAGTTGATTTAAAATGGTCATTAATTTGTAGTGTTGAGTTTTCGGATTTTTTTTTTTTTGGTACTGGGAATCTAACTGAGGACCTTGCCTTTGTTTAGGCAGGTGCGGTGCCACTGAGCTAAAATCCCGGCCCTAGGATCTTTTGATATCATTGAAAATACATTTATATTAGCAGGTTGAACTGTTTAAACATCTTTCTGTTTAAACTCTCAGAATAAAAAAAAAAAAGTAGATTTTTAATTTCATGTTATTTGTACATATCTGGGTAAGAATTCAGTATTTTTACAAATTTATGTTATTTTTTCACCAAAATATTTTTTAGACGTGTTTGTGGTTTTTTTTCGCTTTTTTTTCCTCTTAGGTTCAAAGAGTCCAGGACATATGGTAATACTAGACCAAACTAAAGGAGATCATTGCAGGCCATCAAGAAGAGGAAGATATGAGAAAGTAAGTCTTGAGGAAGTTGAATAACGTTTGAACTGTTTCCAAAAGATGATACTGTTATCTCTGTAGCCATTTTTCCATGCTGCACGATCTGAGAAAAAGGACACAGCATGTTACTTGAACTCCTTAAATGACCAGCTAACCTTGCAAAATAAAACCCTCAATTTGCTTCTGGTTGTCTCATACTTTTTATCTGTAGATTCATGCAAGAAGCAAGGAAAAGGAGAGAGCTAGCCTAGATAAAAAGAGGGACAAAGACTACAGAAGGAAAGAGATCTTGCCTTTTGAAAAGATGAAAGAACAGAGATTGAGAGAACATTTAGTTCGTTTTGAAAGGCTGCGACGAGCAATGGAACTTCGAAGGTATGAAAGTGTGTTTTATACCTGTCTTCAAATACAGGTACATTTTAACACTAAGCCAGCTTTTTAGAAATTGCATTCCCACAGAAGACTGTTGACCACGTTACAGAAGTGTAGTACCATCTAATGCTTTAAGTTTGCATAGCACTTTACTTTTTTGGGGGGGGGGGTACCGGGGATCGAACTTAGGTCCTTATACTTGCACAGCAGGCAGCGAAACCACTGAACTAAATCCCTGGCCCAGCACTTTATATTTTAACAAAGTGCTTTTCTATCTGTTACCTCCCAGCTCAACAGTTCTGTAAGGTTGCTGATGCTCAGTATTCAGTTCAAAAACGTGGAGGCCCAGAGAGGCGAAATGGCTGTTCCAGTGCCACAGACCACTGAGTGGCAGAGTCGGGACTCAGAGCCAAGTCTTCTGACTCCAAGTCCAATGCTCTTTTCTCTGCTCCAAAGCTGCTGCCATCAAAACATGACCTTAAAGGGAAAAACTGATTTTGAGATAGTTCAAAGTAAGCTACAGTGTTCAGATACTATGTTGAAATTTTAACAAATTTAGCAAAAATATATTGTTCTTTGGATCAGTGCCTAAGTGAAGGAAAATTTGCTCTGTGAGCCTGATTTATTCAAACTCAACCCCGAACAAGCATTCTCTTAAACTGAAAAGAAAACTAAAAACCCATTTTTGATGTCATTTGAAAATCCTTGTGAATGTGTTTTATAGTATATTTTCATAAATGTTAACCTGTCTTGTCCACTTGCAAGATTTCAAGGAACTCTGCCAAGGAGAAATATTTTCAGCAACTTAGATAAAATAACCATTATCATACATCTTTAGCAAAAGGAAATAATCCTGCTCAAAACCCACACCCCCCCTTTTTAGACGAAGTCCCACTGTGCTTAGCTTCATATTTAATTCACAATGGGTTGGAGGAGAGTGGGAGTGGGGAGTGCCTATGGCAGTGCTTCCCAGAGCTGTTAGGTCAGAGCCTATTTATTTTGTCGTATTTTTATTTTAGAAAGTGAGTCCCACTATGTTGTCCAGGCTAGACCTCGAACTCCTGGGCTCAAGGGATCCTTCTCCCTCTGCCTCCCTATTAGCTGGGCCCACAGCGAGCACTATCTAGCCTGTTGCTCTTTTGTATGTGTTTTTGTTTTGTCTTTTTCTGCTGCCCTTTTAAATAAAGCTCCAGTGCTCTTTTCACTCTGCCGAAATAAAATTGATGTATAGCATACTTACCTGTACAAATAATTTCCAGAAAACTGATATGACTTAAGTATAATGTCAAAGAGAAATAAAAGTAATGTATCATAAAATACATACTCCTGAGGTGACTGTTTGGGCAAAACTTTACCTTTAGAAGCATTAATGAAGCAGTTAGGTGTTTGTGCCCTTTTAGACTCACTGAGAATGTGAACCTTACAAATACAGACTGATCCTGGTATGTTATTATGGTGAGTTCAGTACCAGGAGTGATGTAGATACTGTGATGTGGTTTTATTTGAAGTGCTGAACAACCTTTCTAAATCAAACCAGCCTTGCTTTCACACACACACCTTTGTGTGTGTTGTTGGGTTTGTGTTTGAACCCAAAGCCTTGAGCAAGGCCTCTACCACTGAGCTATATCTAACACGCACACACACACATGCGCGCACGCATGTGTGCTCTTTTTTGGAGACAGTCTTGCTAAATTGTCCAGGCTAGCCTTAAACTTGTGATTCTCTTGCCTCTGCCTCTCAAGTAATTGGGATTACAAGTGTGCACCACCATGCTAGGCAAGTCTAGCATTTTTTTAGAATGGTGTTAAATTCTAAGGCCTGATTTTTTTTTAAGGTTTTTTGTTGTTGTTCTTTTAATAACATGAATGTCCACTGTGACATTTTTTAAAAATATGAGGAATGTTAGGTAATTTTTGCTGTGTGGGACTGCCCTGATAATTGTTGCTTCCTACGTTAGAGTCCTTGGTGCCTAGCCGCAAAATGCTAGTAATGGCTTCATGGTCATTTTTATAATTAAAATTCCACAACAGTTTCCATGGAAGTAAAACTAACCACTGGGTTGCTAGAGGAAGACGTTGATGGACAAAAAAGTATCCTGACTACCTAAGAGTCAGGAAATGAGAGGCGCATTAAGAAAAGTCTAATATGACAATTCAGTGCAATGAGCATTTGAACTACGTGTGATTTGAAGAGCAGTTACAGGAGCTGGGGACTCCTGAGAGCCCTCAAGGGCATTGTTACATACAGCATTCGCTATAATCGTTGTTTGTAGTTATCACAAACTATCAAAATAAAGTGTATTACCGTTTTTAAGGCGATTTTTTTAAAAAGCTATACACTGGAAATTTTTCTATCCAAAACAATTGATTAGAAGATGCAGTTTTATAAATTCATATATGTAGATTATATTTCTTAAAATGTCAATTAATGGGCTACTATAGTGGGGATTTTGTTTAAACAGGAATCATCTAAAAGGCAGCTACTCTAAAAATTTTGCTACCCACTTGGTAGTCTTATAAATAAGTGATAGTATTGGAATCTGTTTGAAGTTTTATTTTGAATTCTCTTTCCAATTATATTAAATCTATAGAGATTAAGTTGAAGTTTAAAATTGCCAACCTCAAGAAATAATTCAAATTCAAAAGATCTTCTCTTTCACACAGTGCTAGCATAATTTAAGTATTTCTAAATACTGATTTTTGTTAGACGAAGAGAGATTGCAGAAAGAGAGCATGGAGAGCGAGGACGAATTAGAATAATTCGTGAACGGGAAGAACGGGAACGCTTACAGAGAGAGAGAGAGCGCCTAGAAATTGAAAGGCAAAAACTAGAGAGAGAGAGAATGGAACGCGAACGCTTGGAAAGGGAACGCATTCGTATTGAACAGGTGCAGTCAGAAAATCTTTTCATCTTAAATAACTCACCTTTTTCAAACCCTGTGATTTTGCCCTGAAATTTGCTTTACTTGTTGTAAAGCTTCTATAGAGTGAATTCAGTTAATGAGCTTTGAAGTGTCCCAAAAGATAACAGTGAATTAGGTACTAGTTAAAAATACACCTAGTAGTCCTTGGTTCTAGATAATCGGTAATAACTCTACCTCTGCAGTATAATGGCAGCCTAATAGTCTGAGCATAGGACTCTGAGTCCAGAGTATTTGAAATCCAGGCTCTGTCACTGTCTCACTCTTAGAAAATAAGTACTTCCTTATGTATCCTAGTGGGAATGATTTCCCAAGGCTGGAGGGAAGTAATGCCTCTGTTTGCACAATTGTAACCCAAAGTTTTAAGGCACTTACTCCTAGTAAATATTATGGACTATATTTCTAATTGCCTTTAGATGCTTTAAGTCAAATGATTAAATTAAATCTGACCTTCCCCAATATTTTACTAGCTCTCACCACCCAGCCCCTGCTGTTTTTTAATGATACAGAAGAATGACATCTAGCTAAAGTCTAGATGGTTGAAATGCAGATCACTCATCTCAGGGGCATTTTTGCCTGGTGCTTGCCTAAGACGATTTCTTAGTGACTGGTTAGCTCCTGGTTGCACTTACGCTTACTTTCATCTTCATTTTCTATTGGTTGGTTCTTCCTTCTGTGTCTGAAGGAACGGCGTAAGGAAGCTGAAAGGATTGCTCGAGAACGAGAGGAACTCAGAAGGCAGCAGCAGCAGCTTCGTTATGAACAAGAAAAAAGGAATTCTCTGAAACGCCCACGTGATGTAGATCATAGGTAGTTGCTTACTCTCTTCCTTAACAGTTAGTTACACTTGCTACCTGGTCCCCATCAAGAATTAGGAAGTGCAGGTTCCCATCCCTGGAATAAAGGTTCTGGGCAGCAGCAGGGTTACAGTCCCGGGGTGGACCCAGTGCAGTATCCAACAGGAACAGCTTTTCCTCCTGTTTTCCTTCCTTAGTGCCAAGTCATTTTTCATCATGACTGGAAAGATGCAGTCCTAGCAAACTTTACAGTGGGTCTCAAACTCTCAGGGTCCTCTGCTAGTTTTTTTGTGGTTTTTTTTGGTACCGAGGATCGAACTTGGGTCCTTACGCTTTTGCAGCAGGCAGCGAAACCACTGAGCTAAGTCCCCAGCCCTCTGCTAGTTTTTATCAGTAGTGCAGGTCGTGTTAAGAATGAAAGTCAGGCTGAGGATTTAGCTCAGTGGTGCTGCCGCCCACCTTGCAAGCGCAAGGTCCTAGTTCGGGAAGACTGAAGTGTGGATTCTGTTATGTGTGTTTATATAAGTATATTCGTTTAATTTTCTTAGTATAAGTTATATGAGCCATAGTTGATTGTGTAGAGAAATAGGTAGAATGAATTGTACTTAGGACATATAGTACCTCTCTAACTTTTCCAAAGTTAAAGATCATTGAGAAGGTTTTGAGCTGCCACTTAATACTTGGTGTCCAGTATTTTATCTCATTTTTTCCCCACTTTATGATGTAAAAACAGATGGTCTTTCAACTGTTTTTCTCTTCTGTTTAAATTCTTCTAACATTATATGGCCTTATGTGATTTAACAATGTCTTGCTAGCCCGCATTCCTAACTGAACTCGTTGTGTCTTGAGTTTAGTAGCCTCTTGTGTCCACAGTTCTAACATTTGGTATGTATGACTCCAAGTGAGTATTGTTTGATTGTTGTTAAAGTAATTCATATAAATGAGCAAAAATTTCTCTTTAAGGCGAGATGATCCTTACTGGAGCGAGAATAAAAAGTTGTCTCTAGATACAGATGCCCGATTCAGCCACAGCTCTGACTACTCTCGTCAACAGAACAGATTTAATGACTTTGATCATCGGGAGAGGGGCAGGTTTCCTGACAGCTCAGCAGTACAGTCTTCCTCTTTTGATAGGTAAGTAGAGCTGCTGTGGGTAGTATATGAGCCCTGCTAGTGATAATTCTAGTTCTTGATTAAAATAGGTCACTATAACCTGGTGAAGTAGGGTGACTATATCTTGTTACATTAAAAGTGAGTGGGAGGGCTGGGGATTTAGCTCAGTGGTTTCCCCGCCTGCTGCGCAAGCGCAAGGACCCAAGTTCAATCCCTGGTATCAAAAAAAAAAAAAGTGACTGGGAGCACTTAGTTTTGGATGTGCTTCAGTTGTTAAGAATAGTAAACAAGTTTGGCTTAGTAGCACACACCTGTGATCCCAGCAATCTGGGAGCCTAAGGCTGGAAGATGGAAAGATGGAGCCTAGCTTGGGCAACCCATTGACTTACAGAGACCCTGTCTCAGTAAAACACGGCCCAAGATTTAACTCAGTGTGAAAGTCCTGGGTTCAATCCACAGCACCAAAAGAAAAAACAAAACAGTGAAACATTTTTCAGGTTGGTAGTAATTTGAGTGTTTTAGGTCATTTCTCCTGGATGCTAAAATGCCATCCTTCGTGCCAGACATTTAATGTAGTAGGAGAAAATTTTTAGGCATAACTTTGAGCCCAGCCTGGGGATCTTGGTGAGACTCTGTCTCAATAAACGGGAGGAGGGGGTGGGGGGCTGAGGGCATAGCCTAATACTGAAAAAAAATTATTAAAATCTGTGTAGCTGGGCCGGGGATTTAGCTCAGTGGTTCTGGTGCCTGCCTCGAAAGTGGAAAGACCCGAGTTCAATCCCCAGTACCAAAAAAAAATCGGTGTAGCCTTTTTTTTTTTTTTCGGTGTAGCCTTTTTCTCATAGTTTTTCCTTTTCTCAACCAGTGTAGCCTTTTTGATGGCCATGCCTTAAGTTCCTTTTTAAAGAAAGTGTGGGATTATAGGTTTTACAGACACTTTTCCTTTAACAACTTGAGTTCCATTCCTATGACTAGGTTGCTAAATGAGGAATTGTGTATAGTATGTACATTATAATATGCAGAATAAAAGAAATAGTCAAAGGAAATGGTCCCGATTGATGACTTTGCTTTTATTTGCATAACTCTTCCATGTAGTACTGTAATGTATAACAACGTAAAACTACAGTACTGTACTATACAGTCAACAGAAATTGCAGTTCAGTGTAAACAAGGTTCATATACCCAAAAAAGACACTGAGGATCTGGAAAGAAGATGTAAAACACTGCAAAAAAAAAAAAAAAGATGGGTCATAAGATGGAGCATCTAGTTGTAAGTCTGAATAGCATGCCTTGGTCATAAGTCTGAATGGTCTTTAGCCAGGTAGGTCATTAAATGAGGAAAATCTGTAATAATCAAGTTAAGCATAAGGTCCAGTGTGTGCTGCTAAGACCTGTGTTCTCTGTTCTTGTCACTAGGCGGGAACGCTTTGTTGGTCAGAGTGAAGGGAAAAAAGCACGGCCAACTGCACGAAGAGACGATCCCAGCTTTGAGAGATACCCCAAAAATTTCAGTGATTCAAGAAGAAGTGAGCCGCCTCCTCCACGAAATGAACTTAGAGACACAGACAGAAGAGATGTGCGAGGGGAGCGAGAGGAAAGGAGAACAGTGATCATGCACGACAGGCCCGACATGGCGCACCCGAGACACCCCCGGGAGGCCGGCCCCAACCCTTCCAGACCCGCCTCCTGGAAGGGCGAAGGGAGCATGTCTGCCGACAAGCGGGACGCAAGGTGGGGGTGTGGGGGGTGTGTGTGTGTGGGGGGGGTGCGTGCGCACGCTGCTAGTCCCTCCAGGTGGAGTGCAGTGCATTGGGGCTGAAAGTGGAGATTGTAATGAAGTTGTTATCATGCAGGTTTTGTGTTGGGTTTCACAGAGTTGAAAGGCCAGAGCGCTCTGGCAGGGACGTGTCAGGACACAGTGTGAGAGGTGCTCCGCCTGGGAGTCGAAGTAATGCTTCTGGGTATGGCGGCCGAGAGAGCGACAGAGGAGTCATCTCAGACCGGGGCAGTGGAGCCCAGGTAAACACCCACAGCGGGAGGCACCTGTGAGGTGCTATGTGTACATACAGTGTCATGTGGCATACAGCAGTTAAATGAACGCCCGAGAATAGTTTCTTTTTTCCTTTTGGCTTTTAAAAACTTTTTTGAGACAGGATCTCGCTTTGTAGTGCAAGTTAACTGTGAACTCATGTAGTCCAAGCAGGCCTTGAACTTACTGTGATCCTCCTGCCTCAGTCTTCCAGAGTGCTGGAATTATAGCTCGCACCACCGTGCCTGGCTGAGACTAGTTTCTTTTTTTTTTTTTTGTATTAAATTCTTTTATTGGTACATTTTAGGTATACAACACAATTACATTTCTCATTGGGAATTGTACCTTTATATAATGCATCTTGGTTCTTATTTTTTCCCCATTCCTAGCCCTCCCTTCATGTCCTCTACCCTTCCCTATTTACAAAGACTTTATTTCCATTTTTTCCATTTCTTATCATTTTTTCATTTCCCTTCTTTCCTTTCCCCTGTGCCTCCCACTACCCCTACCCCTTTGGACCTTTTATTCCTATTTTACATTGTAGATTATTCATTCTAATCATTGGTACATTTTAGGTATACAATATAATGACATTCATCATTGGAAATTTGCACCTTTACATAGTCTCTCTTGGTTCTTATTTTTCACCCTTGCCCAGCCCTCCCTTCAACCCCTCCAGCCCTCCCTATTTACAAAAATTTTGTTCCTATTTTTCCATTTTCTCATATTAATCCCATTCTCTTCTATCCTTTCCCTTAGCCCTCCCACTTCCTTCCCCTTTGCCCCTTTTCTTCCTGTTTCACATGACCTATTTTATACATTTAGTCCTTATTTACACTTTCAGTTTCTCACACCAGAGAAACTATGCGCTATTTACACATCTGTGTCCTATTTATTTCACTTAAGAGTATTGCCTCAATGTGCATCCACTTAGCTATAAATGTCTCTTAATTTCTCATTTTTTATGGCTGAGTGAGACTAGTTTCTTGTAAAAGATTTTGTTCTCTGTCAATTTTATGGTTAGTAGTTGAATACCAATAGTCAAAGAAGTAGGATACTGTCCTTGAAACTTCTTTCCTACTTCCTGTTGGAATTTGAGAATTGTTCTATTTGGTAAATGACCTTCTTTTTTTTTTTTTTTTTGGTACTGGGGATCAAACTCAGGACCTTGCGTTTACGAGGCAGATGGCAGAACCACTGAGCTAAATCCCTGGCCCTAAATGACCTTTCTTAATGATGACTTTTAAGAAACTGGGGGCCAGGAGTGGTGGTGCATGCCTGTAATCCCAGCACTAGGGAGGCTAGCAGTTCAAATGAGCAAAAAATACGAGCGCAATTTAAAATATCTTATTAAGGGCTGGGGATTTAGCTCAGTGGTTTCACCGCCTGCTGTGCAAGCGCAAGGACCGGAGTTCGATCCCCGGTACAAAAAAAAAGAAATATTGAGAGTCTGTGAGGTGACAATAGCACCAACAGAATATATTTTGGTAAATTATATACCAAAAAGAATTCTGATATATGTTTGCATTATACTCTGGAGTGTTGCTTTGCATTTGGATTTTATAACAGCATTTTTGACTGAAAAATGTTTGTAATCTCTTGACATTCTATCTGATATAACTAGGTATCATTTCATCCTGCACATTTATGACAGGTGTGGGCCTGGTGACTATATAAGTTTTAGTGTCTCTAATAAATAGTAGTGTTTGGTAGCTGATTCCTTGAGCTGTTTTCCCTGAACAGAACAGTGTGTCACCCACTGCTCTGCTTTATTGAGGGTAAAGCTTGAGGAAGTCTCGTCCACTAGCTCCCTGCATGCAGATAGGTGAGCAGGCGGCGCCTTGTCTTCCCGTGCCATTCAGTCAGTCTGGGAATTGTTTGGCTGCTGTGGTCTCTGTGTGGGCCCCTTCAGCTTCTGTCCTGTGGGCTCTGGCTCTCAGTTCTTCATCTGACCTTTAGCTTTTGTTCTTTGATGTTCGTCACTGTGTTTTTCAGAGTCAGGGACAGCGCCTTTTCACAGCCATAATTAGTGCTACGTAAAATAATGAGTGGATTTTGGGTTTTTTTTGTTTGTGTGAGGGGTTTTCTGTTTTATTTTGTGATGTTGGGGATTGAACCCAGGAGGCCCATTGCAATGAACTACATCCCCAGCCCATTTGATTTTTTTTTTAAGATGGGGTCTTGCAAAGCTGTCCATTTGGGCTCATTCTCATGATCCTCCTGCCTGTGGTGCCAAGAGGCAGCTCCTGTTTGTATATGCTGTTTGCTGTTGTCCGACAGGTTGATCGTATCCTCCATCCTGATTTGTCTTACAGTTTTGAATATATATGTATATGCTTCCTAATGTATGGGTCCAGCATGGGGGCTCCATCCTAGGGTGCTAGGAGGCTGGCATAGACATAAATATTAAGGTGTGGAATCATTTCCAAGATACCCTGTGCCTTCCGAACAGTCGAGAACCGGATTCTTGGCTTATGCTGTTCATGTTCACCCTTTTTTATCTTCTCTGTTGTCCTTTGCTCTAACATTGAAAGCATACCAGTGTGTCCGTTGACCTGAGCCTGTGATGTTTTGACTTTCATATGCTTTTCCGCAGCACTACCCTGAAGAACGACACGTGGTTGATCGCCATGGACGGGACACAAGTGGACCACGGAAAGAGTGGCATGGTCCACCTTCTCAAGGGCCTGGCTACCATGACACGAGGCGAATGGGTGACGGCCGGGCAGGCGCAGGCATGATGAGCCAGCAGCACTCGAGGTGAGGGGCTGCTCTGTGAAGACGAGCTCTGCCATCACACAGCCACGTCCTTAGCCTTACACACAGGTCATCGTGGTTGCTGAGAGATTGGACTGTGAACAGGGAAACGTAGGTCTGCCCAAACCTTTCCCCATCTGAACTCAGCGTCACAAAGAGAGGTGTGCAGGGCTGCTGATGCTGATTTGTTACTTTGGGTTCCTCACTGAAAGTGACTTGTTTGCATTCTGATAAGTGAAGCAGGCTGGGTCCAGGTTTGCAGTGGATTCGGGATCCACTAGGTACTAAGCAGACACCTTATGTAAAAACCACCTTGTTGTTCGCTACCTTGTATTCCTAAAGTTCTGAGGAAGACAAAACTGAAGGTGTGTTCCATTTCCTTCCTTTCCAGATAACTAATAAAACTTTTTGACATTTAACCCAAGGCCTGTTCCTATGCTGAGGCAGTCTTGATTTTTCTCTGCATACCAGTGTCCTTTGTGGCCCCAATGCCGGCAAGTCCTCCTCCTTTCCATCTGCCTTGTCCTCCTCGCCTTCCCATTCCCTTGTTTTAGAGACCCTGGCTGGCCTGAGTGACCCCAGTCACTTCTGCTTGTTAGCCGGTGTGGTGGCACATTCTTGTCACGCCACCTACCCAGGAAGCTGAGGCAGCAGGGTCACAAATTCAGGCCTAGCCTGGCCAACCTCGCGTGACCCTGTCCCCAAACACAAAAACAGACTGGAGGGTTGGAACTGCTCCCTCATTGCTTGTTCTGCTTTTGACATTTAAAGCTCACCAGCGACGTTTTCTAGGTAATATTCTTAGTTCTCAGGCTCCATGGTTAGGCTTTATTTCACACAGTTGCCTTTCCTCATTTGAAATAGTCTTCTGTTTTCTAAGGCACTGTAATTTTTCTACCTTTTTCATTTCCTGCTGGCTCTTCCAAGTGTTTGGGCTGTGGACAATGCTCTTTTATTTTTAGCTCTGTGTTGCGGTCTCCAGATGAAGGCCCTGTTGTCTCCACCAGTTCAAGGTCACAGCAAACTCACTGCCCTCCTGCTGGAACCCTTTGCTCCCTTTTGTTACCTCCAGCTTCTCTCTGCCCATGCCAGCAGCTGAGGAAACATGGGCCCTGTCTTTCTCTCCATTCCTAGCATAAATTCCTCGGTGGCATTCAGGTTTTTTTGAATGTTTCTAATAGTCACTCCTCCTTCTTTTCAGCTTCTGTCAGATCTTCCCAGGTTATGATTTTTTCTGCTCCATAATTCATACTATTTTTAAATTTACCTGTTGGGACACGCTTCTTATATCTACTTGCTTCAAAACCACAGCAACTTCTCTAGGATCTAATCTAGATTCCTTAGCCTGACATTCACAGGTGTGTGTGTGTGTATGTGTGTATGAGAGAGCGAGACAGACAGGGTCTCACTGTAGTCTAGACTGGCTAGACTCACGATCCTCCTGTCTCAGCCTTCGAGTGCTGGTATTAGAGGCATGTGCCACCACAGCCAGCTTCACTGTAGATTTTTACCTCCCAGTTGTGTTCCAGGGTTCTTGAGGTGGCTCTGCCTTGCTGTTGACTCAGTAGCATCTCCTACAAACATAAGCATTGCAGACATTGTACATAAACATTCCAGGAACAGTTCTTGAATGACTTCCTGTAACTCAGGTTCCCCTGCTTCAGTGTACAGCACACTCTCCTGAAGGGCTCAGTAAAACACCTCTGTGCCCAGAGCTTTTCTTGCAGCCCAGACCTGGTTGGGGAACTTGAGTTTCTAATTAGCTTCTCTTTGGTGCTGGTTCTTCAATCTGGGGTCCACACTTTGAGAACCGCTGCTGGGGTCTGGTCCTGTGCATTCCATCACATGGCTTCTGAAGAAGAGGGGATGTCCAGGTTCAGAGCCCACCAGCACAGATGGGCTGTTGACCTGGGGCAGTTAGTTATCCTCCGGAGCTCACTTTGATCAGGAAAGCAGGACTGTTGCCAGGAGTACATGATTTAATGTAAAGTACAAAGAGCAGGAGGGTCTGGCAGATGATAAGTGCTGTGTAGGTATTTGCTGTGATTATTTCTTCTTTGTTGTCTGATGTATTTTTCTTTTAAACCTTTTTCAGTAATGCATCTCCAATTAATAGAATTGTACAGATCGGGGGCAGTTCCATGCCGAGAGGAAGTGGCTCTGGATTTAAGCCATTTAAGGGTGGACCTCCACGGCGATTTTGAAAATGAGCTCTCTGCCATGGTTTCAAGATAATTTATTGAAATCTCCTATAAACTTTATTTGACTACTTAAGAAGAGGACCCTCTGACCTGCTTGAGAGTTCTGTCAGACTTTTTATTTTCTTTTTTTAAAAAATTTAACGATTGCTTTTCTCAATTTTAGAGAAGACGTTTAAATAGTTACGTTGTAATTTTTAATAGTTTTGTGTATCATTCAACTTTACTTTCTTGCAGCACCAATACACATTTGAAAAGATGGGAGTCAAAGCTGTTTTGTTGAAGGCTGTGTGAATACAAGGCGTTAGTTTGCAGCTGTGTGGTAGTGGGTAATTTGCAGCATTGGCGCTGTGGTGCCAGGCTCTGGACATTCTTCTTGTCACCAAGCATTGTCGGCCTCCGTTTTGAAGGCTGTCTAAGCTTAAAAAGTCTGCTGTCTAATTTTTAGAGAGTAAGATTATTCCTTGCATTTCTGAGTATTATGTAACCTATTTTTGCAGAAGGTACTGTTACATTAAGTGCATCTGTGTAACCTGGTTAAAAAATGTAATCTTTTTTGAAATAAACCTTCATATTCTGTATAGTTGCTAAAGTGTTGAGAACCTTTTTAATTGTAAAATGAGAACTGATTTGCAGGTTAGCATAGCAGCACACTTATTCAGGTTTGCATGGAATGAAACCAAATAGATAATGAAACCTTGGCCATGAGGGTAACGCCGTGAGTCTCGGACTGAGCTGTTCAGGTGAGTGCACGCTTGGGTAAACTGTACTGTTGGATGGATGAAGCCCGTCTGCAGGAATTGTGTGGGTATTAATGTTTCCATGTTCCCAGCTATGTTGAGAGGTGGAAAAATCCCAGATTCTAGATTGGTGAATCGGTTGGGTTTTGTAAATACTTGTATGTGGAAAGACATTGTTGTCTTTTTGTGAAAATAAAAATCCACACCTGGATGTGTGTGTGTCTTTGTTTCCAGCTCTTCAGAAGTGAGGCCCCAGCCTTGTCTAGCGTTCAGTTAGTGCTAAGTACTGCGTAGGTACAGGGCCATAAAGGCAGGCTTTTGGTGTTTGTTCCCAGGACATAAATCTAGCTTTGGCTACCTCAGCAGCTGGCAGCAGACTGTGGATACATCAGAAACTTAACCATAACCCTAAGGCATCCTTTCAGGGTAAACACTGGACATCCATTTCCTTCATGAAAACTTCTCATATCTCTTCCTATCCGACAGTTTAGCTTCTTGGTAAGTCCAGCAGTCTGTACTGATTCGGAGGGAAAGATGGAGCGAGGGCTCTCTGAGGCCCTGTGTTCACTGTCAGGAGGAAGTGCTGCAGATGTTGGCATTGTGTCCTGGTGTGTGTAGTCACGTCCGTGGAGAACTGGGTGCTTTTGCACTGCCCAGGGTCTGCATTCCCAGTCCTGCAGATACAGTGTGGGAGTGTTGTGGGGACTGGGGGAGAAGCAGCCCCAATGTCCGCTGGAGAAGACTCAGCTGCTTCTGCGACTAGGCGTCACTGTGCCATTGTGTGCCTCCGTTGTCAGCAGGACCTAACTTGGGGTCTTCATGCCGTTGCTGGTGCAGGGCAGCGCACCACACGGGATAGGGCACTTGCTTGCCTAGTACTCAGTCCTCTCTACCAAAAGTACAGTTCCTCCCCCTCCCCAGTTTTCAGATGGGCGCCTGAGAGGGAATCTCCGACAAAAAATTCAATCTTTACAGAGTTAGAGGCGTAGCTCAGTGGCAGAGCACTTGCCTAGCATGCGTGAGGCCCTGGGTTCCACCCCAGTGCAATCTTTGAATTTTGCATCTTTTGTACCCTTACACTGAAGGATATAACAGTCTAAACACTATGTATTTTATTCCTCAGGCTGCCGAGGTTACATTTTTCATCTTTAGAAAGCCTGACAAAGTTCCGAGAACATTGTAAGGTGTAGGGAACCAGCTAGCGCAGTGAGCTGGCCAGCTCCAGGTCAGTAGTGAAACACCAGGCTGAAAGTTTTTATAAAGGAAGGTGGGTCCTCCAAGCCCTCAAAAAGGAGAGAAAGGTCCTGTACCCTATATGCTTGAGAACAATCCAGATGCTTCTTAAGAAGCAGTAGATTGCTTAGGTGGTAATAGGTCAAGAAGGACAAGGGCAGGGCCAGGGATTTAGCTCAGTGGCACTGCAGCTGCCTCACATGCAAAGTCCTGAGTTCGACCCCTGGTACCAAAAAAAAAATCAAGGGCCAGTCTTAGTTTGAGCAGGATACTGAAGACAGGTACTAAACATGCCAAAGTGATTGTAAAGGAAAATGAAAAGCTTAGAAAATAAATTTCTAGGCTCTTAAATACATGAAGTAATTAAAAAATTAACCCTCTACCTATGTTTGAATCCCTTGCAAGATTGTCCCTCGGCAAGACTTAGCCATTCCTCCCTGGCCTGAAGGGCAGGTTTCCAGCAGGCAGTTGTCACCTGGGTTCTCATCTTTTGTCTTTCATGGGAGGGGATGGGGACCTTGGGGGGCAGGAAGGGGAAGAGGAATAAAATAAAAATTATTAAGATGCAGTATATGTACCAGTCACCCAAGATGGATGTAATTATGTATTACAGACATAGGTAACAGAAGGCTTCAGACTGGTATGGCCTCTTGGTTCAGGGCCAGCCTAGCTGCTATCTTTCTAGAGTTAGCACTGGTGCTGCTGACACGGCTCCCCTTTCCTCCCCAGCAGTGTCCAGTCTTTGGGGTCCCCTCCCCTCACCTCATTCTGCTGTTCACTCATTTTTCTTTGTTGCCTTTACTCTGAAGACCAGATGTCATAGTCAAGCCTTTTGCCCTGCTGATCCCTTCATCTGGAAGGTTCTTTCCCAGAGGCCCACAAGGCCCACTTCCTCAGCTGCTGCAGGCCTTCCATGATTTTACAAAGCCCCAGGGCATTACAGCAAATGTTTGGAACAGCGCATTATGGCAGGTAAATGATGCCCACAATTTTTTTTTTTTTTTGGTACTGAGGGTCCAACTGGGGACCTTGTGCTTTCGAGGCAGGCTGGGTGCCACTGAGCTAAATCCCTGGCCCTGCCCACAATTATTTTTTAGATGTATTTCTATTGATGAATTTTTAATTTTGAGTTTTATTAAACTATTTAAAAAATATAAACTAAATGCTAAAATTTTAATATGTAATGAGTTTAGAATAAACATTTTCAACATGTTTACTTCCAAGATCTAAAAAATAGAAATAGATCCCTATTGAACTACAGTGAAAATGCAAAACCTACCACAGAAACAATCTTTGCTTCAAATATCACACCCAAGGCAATCTTCACACACGAGACTAGAGCGCTCCATGCAGTCTTGCTTACTCTGGCAGGACACGTGTTTTGTTTTCCTGTCTCTGGCAGGATGCACTTGACATCTCGCTGGCCTCCCTTTTTCCTTAGGGGGTTCTTGTGTTCACCCGTCTGCGGCAGAATTCTCCTGAGGGGCCCCTTGAGTACATACATACTGTTCTTCCTTTGTTGTAAGTGATCGTTTATCAATTCCAGCACCAATCCTCTAAGAATGTTTCTCCATGGTATTTTGTGCTTGTTACTTTCTCTGTAAACTATGAAACTATTTATGCCGGACATGTTTAGAACCAAGTACAACCATCATTGGCCAATGCTTTGTGTTTCGAGTGATACCGTTGTTGCTGCATGACTTGTCAACGCCTGCTCCACCTTTTGTTTTTGTTGTAAAATGTGATCATTTTTGGCTTCACTTTGTGTTTGAGCATTCACTGTCAATCTTTTGTTTTTGAGACGTATCTCTCTGTGTAGTTCAGGCTGGCCTTGAACTCACTGTATAGTACAGGTTGACCTTGCACTCAGCAGTGATCCTCCTGCCTCAGCCTCCTGAGTGCTGAGATTACAGTTGTGCACCACCAGGCCTGGCTTCAGTATCAATCTTTTTTTTTGGTACTGGGGATCGAACTCAGGACCTTGTGCTTGCGAGGCAGGCGGTGAAACCACTGAGCTACATCCCCAGCCCTTCACTATCAATCTTACCATCATGGTGTAATGTTGACAGTGTCAATGCTTCTCTGTCTTTCTTTGCCATACAGGAGGCCTATACATTTCTCTATTGCAAACTTGGAACATTTTTTCAGAAATCTTTGCTTTGTTCTTAGGAATAGTTCCTGTGCTGGTCACCTGGTATTTTAGCAAATGTAACCTTAGTGGGTAACAAGTGAACCAATGTGACATTTGGGTTACTTTTTGAAATAGGTGCAGCAAATCTGTTCACAAAATCATACGGTTTATTACTGCATGAATAAAGACCTGCTGGCTGAGTTCCAAGATAAATTTCTAAATTCAAGGTGTAAAATGTCTTCCCATCTACCAGGACATATTTTTTAGGTTCTTGCCAGGGGGTGAAATCTGTTGGGACAGAATTGTCGACATCGCGATTCAATGTTGGAAATTGTTTGTAATGGACCATATGCTACAAGATGTTTTGAAATATACTAATAATGAAATACAAGTAAGACATTCTATATGCATCAACAGTAATATTCAAAAATATATTTATGCCATCTCACTATCTGAACTAAAAGCCGCCTTAGCAGGAGGGGAAGAGGATGAAAGAAGAATAGGTGTTATGTACATGTACCACCTCCCTACAAGGAATGTAATCACTGTACTTCAAACATGTACTAATAAACCTGAAAACTCATAAACTAAAATTAACTTACAAGTTTCTACAAAGAAATGTTACCCTCTCCTTTCCCTTTCCTGAGAGTTTTATGTAGGACTAATATTTTTTCTGTAAATGTTTGATAGACTTCGCTAATAAAGATACCTAGGCATTGTCTGTAATCCCAGCACTCTGGGAGGCTGAGGCAGGAGAATTTCAAGTTTTAGTCCAGCCTGGGCAATTCAGACCCTGTCTTTTCTCACTGCTGAGACAAAAATACTTGACACCCAAAGTAAAAGGAGGAAAGGTTTATTTGCCTCGCAGTTTGTAGAGCTTTCAGTCCAGTTTGCTGGCTCCAAGGCAGGGTGGCATAGCAGGCAGGCATCACAGAGGAGAAACAGTCCATGGTGGGCAGAAGGTAGCAAAGCAACAAGGGGCCTTAGCAGCTGCTTTCTGTCCCTTTTATATCGACTACTGGGGATTAGGACGGTCCAAACCAATCAGTGTACTGATTTAGAATCACACGACCTTAATCCCAGCAGCACATGCTCTAGATTGAGCCACCTCTGGAAAGGCCACTTATGGCTACATGAGGCTTTGAGGGGACATCTAGATGCCGACCATGTGACAGTCAAGTGTGGCGGGTTCACAGTTACACTGAGGATGCAGAGGGGTGTGCCAGCGGCGTGTGTGGAAATGTCAGCAGGGTTTACTGACACACGAGGAGCAGGGGCAGTTGTGGGGTAGGTCAGACGCCACGCTCTAGGGGAAGGGTGGAGTGGGAGGATGGGTAGAAGGGCTTCTCAGGGAGTGAGTTGGACTGGCGTGACCCAGGAGTCTCCTGGGGAAAGCAAGAGCATCCGTTAGTTTTTCGCCTGGCACAGTGCTGCAGACCAAATGTCTGGTACCAGGGATCGAACTTGGGTCCTTGCGCTTGTGAGGCAGGTGGCAGAACCACTGAGCTAAATCCCTGGCCCCAGACCAAATGTCCGTGTCCCCACAGAATTCACATCCTGGGGTCCTAACGTGCAGAATGTGATGGACTAAGAGCTGGGGCTCTGGTAAGGATTGGGGAGCTCACTGCCCCCTTCTGCCAGGTGAGTGACAGCCAGAGCCAGCTCCGGAACTCAGCAGTGTGTTTATCTGTCACCCCATCTACGGTACTTTTTCTAAATAGCAGCTGGAACAGATGAGACACACAGAGAAGAGTCACCTTTGCAAGATTTCCTTTTAGGCGTGGGACTGCAGGAGTGGATTTCTGCAGAGCAAGGAGGATACAAGAATGGGCTCAGCATTGGAGAGCGCAGGGAATGTTAGTGAGTCCCGAGTATCAGAGGCAGGAGGGCACGCACGTCCGGTGTGGTGTGGGATTTGTCAGTGCAGGCAAAGCTGCCTTCCAGACGGATGTGTGAGCGCAGCTTCCAAAGCAGGTGCTGGCCTTCTCAGTTCCAGCAAGCGGGGAGGTGCCTACCGCATGCAGAAACAAAGTGCAAAGAGCCTGCAGAGCCCACAAAACTAAGAAAAGTGTTACTTTCCACAGTTTTGTTGACAACGCTGTGACCCAGATGTTCTTCCACTGGTTCCAGATAACGTGATGACTTCCAGGGGAACTCGGGCGTCATGGGTTAAGGACTTTCGTTCTGACCTTTCTGTTACAGAAGCTCACTGAATAACGGACTTCATTGCCTTATTTAAAGCATGGGTAAGCAGTAACTACATAGTATAAAGATTCCTCTAAATAAGCATTTGAATTCTAAGTGCCAGTGACCTTGTATCAGGAAAATTAGAATGGGTGTAGTGGCGCACACCTGTAATCCCAGCATTTAGGAGGCTGAGGCAGGAGGATCGCGACAAGTTAGAGGCCACCCTGGGCTACATAGTGAGTTCGAGGACACCCTGAACTACATACGAGACTTTGTCTCAAAAAACAAATCCGAATAAAAAGATATGCTCCCTGACTTTAAAAGGTTTGCAGTCTGCCCTAAGTGCTGTGTACTGGGGAGGCCAGTAGAATGCAATGTGGAATGATTAATTCTGTTCAGAGGCCTGAGGAGTGCAAGAAAGCGTTCCCAGAGAAGTATGTTAGCTCATGTGGACATTGAATTGCTGGATAAAACTTTAGTTAGGGTTGGCCTGGTGTAAAGAGGTGGTGCAAAGAGGAAACGATCCCTTTTCAGCTCTCCCTTAGTCCCTCAGAGAGCAGCGCTAGACAACAAATCTATCACTGGAATTACATGGTTCAGAGTTAGTTAGTTGCTTATCTACGCTTCTTGTGAGGAAAAAAATCATTTATCAAAAGTTGGTGTAGAGCCGGGTATGGTGGCTCACACCTGTAATCCCAGCACTCGGGAGGCCGAGGCAGGAGGATCACCTGGGCTACATAGTGAGTTCAGGGCCAACCTGAACTACAAAGGGAGACCCTGCCTCAAAAAACCAAGAAAAAAGTTGGTGTATGGCCGAGGATGTAGCTCAGTGGTTCAATCCCTGACCCACCCCCCAAAAAAGTTGGTGAAAAACAAAGTTGATGTAAGTATTCTGACTTAATTCTAGGTACATGAGTCAATATGTCAACGCCCCGCCTCCTCACTCTCCCTAGCTCTCTAAGAAACAGCTTAATGAGGTTATTATCAGAAAGACTATTTTGTCTAAATATCAAAGTTTATTGAAATAAAATATAATCTATAATAAAAAATACTATGGGTGTTATTCACTGGTTACAGTTTTAAGTATATTAACAAAAACATGAAATGTGAATCCAACAATGACACCATACTTGTGGTACAATAACAAATATGAAATTAAATGTTGAATAATACTGAATAATTATGTCAGAAATATTTTATACTTTCCCACCTATATTCAAAATGCCTTTTTAGGAGTATCTTCCAAAAGTGAAACTTGTGAAACTTAAGACACAGCTTTTAGAGTTAAGCAGTTGAGCATCCTTAGCATTTAAAACAATAAATTTTTTTTCTAGAAATCAGTCCAACCCTAAGCTGGGTAGATGCAATTAGGTGTTTCTGTTCAGTGTGTTTCAGGGCTCTTTCCTGCTAGTCTCTAGGGTTGCTGCTCTGTATGTATGTATGTATGTATGTATGTATGTATGTATGTATGTATTTATTTGTACCAGGGATCAAACTCAGGACCTTGTGCTTGCAAGGCAGGCGGTGGAACCATTGAGCTAAATCCTCAGCCCTGCTACTATTCTTTAATTGGAATTAAAGCTGGCCATAAAGCAGAACACATTAATTATTTCAGAAGTAAAAAGGGTATTAAGATGGGGAAAGGCACTCAAACACAATCTATGTATTTAAACTCTTGGAGAACTTTTGGTTGGCCAGTCCTGGCCAGTCCTGGCACAAAGAGATCTACATGTCATAGCAATTCTTCACCTAATTACCCTGACATTAAAGAGAAGGAAGAAAATTTGTTTTTTGCTGTATTGCAAGATTACTTTCTCTGCAGTCAGTATACCATTTTACTTGCTATTCCTCAAAATCCAATGATTCTGCACAATTCAAGGGAAAAGATTCACTGGTACCAGCTTAGGGAGTGGCTTTCAGGGTGCTGCTGAAGTTGAACAAGCCATAGTTGTCCTTTCTGCTGTTAGGCAGCGATCTCACCAACCTTCTATTACGGTTCTGTTTGGGACACGGGGACAGGGGGACATTGGGACAATGGTTATCACATAACAGAGGAAAACAGCCAAAGCAAAACCACTGGGGGAGCTTTTGAAAGCCTCATGGAAAAAGCCTGTAGAGCTAAAATATCCTATGTAAACAGAGAAAATGATGGTCATTTCATACAACTAATATATAAGGAAAGAAAACTCTGACAAAATTGAAAGACATAATCTTCACAGATTAAATGCCAATCTCGTCTGATAAAATAACTACTACAGCCAAAGGAACCAGGATCCTCTTCCAGAGAATTCTGCATCCCTGCATCTCAAAGCAAGATATTTCAGTGCAGAGGGATAGACAATTTTAAAGTTACATCATTGACAAATTATTAAGTGATTTTAAGAAATCCTTAAGAGAATATCAGATAAAATAGGCTTACTTGGAATAATAATGCATTTTATGCCTTTAAATCTATTGTGGTCAAAAGCTCAGATTTTGTATTTCTGCCATGGCATTTCAATATCTTATCTGGAACAGTTCCATGCCTTAAAGAATAACTCTCATACAAGTGCAAATTCCCCCTTTCTCGGGACAGTAAGACAAAGCTGCACTGGAGGCAACAGCTGAAATTTTTACCCTGTTTTTCGAGTTTAATTTTCTTGAGATCCGAATAGAGAAATTAGAAACTAGAATCCATCATGTAAAAAAAATATATATATGAGTTTATTGAACTGTTTTCTTTCTTTTTTTGAGGGTCTTGCTATGTAGTTCAGGCTAGCCTCGAACTCATTGTATACTCCAGGGTGGCCTCAAATCTTGGTGATTACCCTGTCTCAAGATAAAAATATTACAAAGGAATGAGGATATAGCTCAGTAAGAAGGCCCTGGTAATCCCCACCACTGTTTAAAAAAAAAAAAATCTAGCAAGCACAAAGCAACTGTAAAATACATTTTGGGCAGACATGATGCCGTACTCAAATTCTATAAATTTTCACACCATTTAAAAAACCAACAAGTTACTGGAAAAAAGTCTGCACACTCACGAATAAATACTATTTGTGTTAACTGAAGTAATACTTTGTGCTTACACTATGCCCTTTGTTCAAGAGTGCAAAACAAAAAAGAAAGCATCCTTTATATATTTAAGAATATACTGAGGAACGGAAGTTTCCCCAGGGCAAGAAAGAAAGTCAGGTTTTTAAACACAAAATAATCCATTTTCCCACATGTCCAGTTTCTTAAAATTCAAATCACAGACTAATGCTTCCATTATTCTGCCAAATATTAGTTTCAGTAATATTTTAAATTGTATGCTTAAGACAAGTAAAGCATGTTTCATAGTACAACAAATAAGAAAGTTAAGCAAAATGTAATCAGTTTGCTTTTTTTTATACCAGGATCGAACTTGGAACCTTGAGCTTGTGAGGCAGGCAGCAGAACCACTGAGCTAAATCCCTGGCCCCTAGTTTGCTTTTTTAAACACACTTAAATGACATTGTTTGAGGACAGTTCTGGAAATTCTCGCCTTAACTTTTCTCCCACAGGACTTCACAAAAGCAGCTTCATCCATCAGCCTTAATGTAGGAATCACAAGTATACTTTCAGTGAGTATTTACCTCCCAGTCCTCCCTCCCAGGGTCTGCTGTCTCTCAGTGAAATGAGTTTAGATTCACTGAAAACAAACTACTAAGAAAGATCTGTGTAAATGAAAATGGTTAATGTTGGGTTCAGTCAACTCATCTCTGATTTAATATGCTTAGTGAAGCCGAATTAAGAAGCACGAGTAAGAATCCAAAACATCCTATGGGCCAGGCATGGTGGCAGACGCCCAGAATCCCAGCACTCAGCAGGCTGAGGCAGGAGGATGGAGAGAGTTCAAGGTCGACATAGGGAGACCCTATCTCAAACTAAACAAAACAAAAAGCCACAAAAGGAACGTAGTATAAGTAGCCACATGCAAGAAATGAGATGAGAAAAACAAGACATACCCCACAGGTCAGTCCTGAACTTGAGCCTCTGACCTTGAAACTTGGCAGACATTTCTGTACCTAAGCCCATGGGACTGGGGCAGAGCTGCCCACACCACACTGCTCAGTGTGTGCATGTACACACGTGTGGTTGGGGGGAATCAAACCCCAGTGCCTGTGCATACTATGCAACTGCTCTATGCTGAGCTACATCTCAGTCCCTTTGTGTGTGTGTAATTTTTTAAATGGCGGTTTTGTTTTTTTTTTGCGGTACTGGGGATTGAACTCAGGCAGGTGTGGTGCCACTGAGCTAAATCCCCGGCCCCGATGGTTCTTAACATTTGAAGGAAAGTTCTGATTGAAGAATCTAACAGAAGTCCAGGGGCTTGCTTCAGAAGCACGCATAATCATGCTCCTAGGAACTGAGGAACTGCTGTAAGTCGCAGCGCTGCTACTGTGCTGGGGTTGGACTGCAGAGTGCTTTCCTACTGCTAATGCACTGGCTAGCAGGAGAAAAGCACGGCGGCTGGATCCGTGCATGTCTCCCTCTCCTGCGGTTCTAACAGCGAACTGGTCGATTCAAAGGGGCCGTAATGTAGTCTACAAATCTTAAAAATGTTTGAATTTTAACTTGTGCTAGCAGTGTGTATGTAACAATTTCAAGCATTAGAAAATGTGGAAAAAGAACCATTTTTAAATATCCCTATCAAAGTCCTATATGCATAAATCAGCAATGAAATGCCTGCATATATAATCTGTTACCTAAAACAAAGTCTGAGGTGATCAAGACGCAACAGCTCTAAGTTCTTTATAACCTTCACGGGCAAGAAAGCAGTACCTCTGAGAAGTAAGTTTGTTTTAATAGAACTGAGTATTTAATTTTCCCCCACAGTAAGCAAAGCAAACATCATTATTCTTGGTATATCAAATTGACATCTAGGAATGTAATAAAGTCTGCCTTGGAAATATTACATAGAAAAAGACTGAATTAACAAACAATGCATTGTTTAGTTTTTTCTCATAACTATACATTGACATCTACTTATCTGACCGCAGCTCTTCGGGTTTTGACTTTTTTGTTTTTTTTCCTCCTTTTTCTAGAAGGAATGCAGAATGGCAGTATTATCTTTGGAACAAATAAGACAGAAAATAACAAAAGAATAACTTCACATATAGTCTTAAAGGGACAAATAGATAATCTATTTCTGGAAAAAAAAAAAAAACACCTCAGATGTGCTTTACTCAAGGTATACTGTGTTTTTTGTTTCTTTTTCCTCACCACTGGTACCAGGAATTAAACTCAAGACCTTGTGCTTGCCAGGCAGGCGCAGCGCCACTGAGCTACATTCCCAGTCCTGTGTTTTTTATTATAGCGTCATTACAACTTGTGCGGGAAGAACAAAGCTTGAGGCTTGTTTCCTCCTCCACAGGAGAGGCACCGTGCAGGTAAACCTCGGGAGGTGAACCACTGGGGCCAAGAGTGACGCAGCACGTTTGCTATCTTACCAACACATATTCTAGGTTATAATAAGAGACTCACCAAATATTTGATGTCCAATTTTTATACCCAAACAGGTTTGATGATTTATCATCCTAGCATAGGAAATTTGAAGGAATAACAAATTATGTAACATAAATAGACATGCAATATAGAAGTGTATAAAAGATACAACTTGGCCTTAGATTTTTTCCTTTAAAGTAATTCCTTCTATAAATAAAACTTACTTTTTACATAAAGACTCATAACTGGTTTTAGATTACAGAGAAAGTTAATAACATAGCTTAAAAAAAGCTAGATTATATATTTTTTTGTAGTCTTTGTCATCCCAGACCACAAGAAAGATGCTCAGATCAGATTATGTTCTTAAATAAACAAATTTTCTGAGGCTTAGAATGTAAAGCACACAAGTAATTAGAGCAGCAACAGTCTTTTCAAAATGACTAAAACAAATTTTAAATATAAAGTATATAAAAAGGACTATTAAGGATAGTTTCCAAAACTATATTTAGAAATACAGGAAAATATGTGTTGCCTCATAATAAAGTTAAATAAATATTCTTTCTGAATCCTATAAACACTATGTTTTAGATTTATTTGGTTCTCATTAGTTAAAAAAAATCTGATTGCTTTTACATAAATTCTTCCAAACTCTCATCTACGCTCAGATTTTTATTGTCTTTCACTGCACTCTGAGATTATCTCTAACTTTCTCTTAGAAATGTGCTTTTTTGTTGGCTTTAGGAAGTATACTTAATCTTCTAGCAATAAACATGATTTAAAATTTAAGGTTCAAAAGGTAATTCTAGAAAAAGGCAGACACTCAACTATCTGCTTTTCTCCCTCCACACATGTACAAGGCCTTGCATCCACTGTGGTTTCCTCCTGAACTCACTCACTGCATTATTATTTTTTTTTGGTACCAGGGATCGAACTCAGGACCTTGTGCTTGCGAGGCAGGCACAGCGCCACTGAGCCTCATCCCCGGCCCTACTCACCTCATTATTAACAGTCACTAGGGTCCAGCTTACCTATTTGAAGATTTCAGAATTCCTCAAAATTTCACAACACTACAAACTCATTAAGATCTCTCGTGGATAGGTTAGAAGTATTAGTGTTATGTAAATTTTTGCTATTGGAAAAAAAATACAAATCTTTACTTTTTCTATCTAGATGAAATTGAAGCTCCATCCTCAGTTCTCAAGATAATGTCTAAAATGTACATTACTAAAGAAGGGTAAAGCTGTCTAATGGCTGACCTAGTCCAATATGCAATTAAGGATTACTTATTCCTGCTATTTTTTGTCTTTTTTGTTTTTAATCCCTGTATTAAACCCCTGGTTTCTTGTGGATTAGTTCATAATCTAACATTATAAAAATTTCTGAAACTACTGTGCTAATACTTAAATTTCAGGAAGGAATCTGACTAAATTAATCACCTCCATTTATTGTTAGAACAGAAGATAAAATAGCTTACTAACTGATATGAGTTACGAATGTCACTGTGACACAGAATTTGCTGTGATTTTCTTATTTGGCTACAAGTGCAGTATTTTTCATGAATGACACCACACAGCATTTCCAACTTGTAACATGAAACTCCAGCTCATAAAGTGTTGTGTGACTTAAAAAGTCTGATTGTAACAAAGTAACCTTTCCCCTGAAAAACAGGAACAAAATCCATTGGGAAATCAGGCACAGACGGTATTTGTCTTGTTCTTCCTTCCCTCTTGTGGTTTTGTTTCTCAAGACAAACATTGTAGATAGTTCCATCAGAATCCAATACTTATTACAAAATGGCACAGCTGCCTTTTTCCTTTTCCTTTTCCTTTTCTCGAGGTTCCTTTCGTTTACGGTCACTAATCGCAGATTGTCTTCCACCTGATGGAGAAGCTTGCGCTGGCTGGTCCTGCTTTAAGAAAAATACACAGGAAGAAATCACTCCAACTAGTCTAAGGTAAAGTTTAATCACAAGCCATTTAAGAAAACCACAACAGTGAAAGACATCATTTAAGGGAAAAAGAAGCTACTGGTAAAGATTTTTGGGGGGAAGAGAAGGTCTTGCTAATTGCTATGTAGTTCAGGCTGGCCTTGAACTCACTCTGTAGCCTAGGCTGCCCTTGAACTTGTAGCAACCCTCCTGCCTCAGCCTCCTGAGTGCTAGGATTACAGGCATGTGCCACCATACCTGGCCCTAGATTTATTATATTAAAGGGTATTTGTATAATTACCTCTATCATTCTGGATAGATGTTACATAATGAATGCGTTAATTATTCTAAATAAATGGAATGTCTAACCTATGCTGAATACTTTATGTATGTCAACACTGGGCTAAGTACTACTGTTTGTTCTTCCCCAGAAACCTGTATTATCTTCTGTTTTACAGACACAAAAAGTAGGGCTACAAGGGGTGGAGGGCTTTGTCCAAAGTACTGCAATAAGGAAGGAGAAACAGAAGCAGGCAATGCAAATCTACATTCATCTAGCTCCGAAGTCTGTGTTCTTTCAGTAGTATCTCAGACTGCCTCTAGCACGTTGTTCAAATGAGTTTCTTTTTTTTTTTTTTTTTCTGATACCAGGGATTGAACTCGGGTCCTCGTGCTTGCTCAGCAGGCGGTGAAACCATTAAGCTAAATCCCCAGCCCCAATTAGCTTATTTTCTTTGGAGATATACATAATTTAAAAAGAGTCAATACCTAATTAAAATTTTTTAAAATCCCTAACAGAATTTTCTTTACTGCTAAAGCAACCATCATATTTTTTTTTTTATAGTGGGGATTGAACTCAGGTCATTGTACTTGCGAGGCAGGCAGTGGAACCACTGAGCTACATCTTCGGTGCAACCATCATACTTAAGATCACAACACTAACTTTTACCTGGGCCTGTGGAGACACAGCAGCTGCTGCCACTGCTTGTTCCTGTTCCTGGTAGAACTGAGAAGCTCGTCTGTCTTCTTCCTCTTGGAGTTTCTTTGCTAGCTCCAAATCACTGATTCCTTCTGGGATTTGTTCCCAATTGATCTCTTGATTCTGCTGTTCTTGTTGTAGAGATAATGCCATCAGATAGTCCTAAAGAATTAAATTATCACCATCTTTAGCTTGGAGATTTTACTCAACAATTAATGAGTGCAGGGCCGGGGATTTAGCTCAGTGGTTTCGCCGCCTGCTGTGCAAGCGCAAGGACCCAAGTTTGATCCCCAGTACCAAAAAAAAAAAAAAATCAATGAGTGCAAACACAGATGTTCTATCTATAAAGCTTTGAGAATAGCTGTGAAAGGGAAGAAGGGAAAGGAAAAATTATGAGAAAGAAAAAAAAAATGGAACCAAACTCTGTAAATAGGGAAGGGTGGAGGGGGTGAAGGGTGCACAGGTAATGGGAGAATAAATAAGAACTAAGATACATTCTGGTACAAACATCCCATGATAACTGTAAATGTATTTTATACCTAAAATGTACCAATAAATATATATATAAATTAAAAAAAAAAAAAAAGAATAGCTTTGAAAAAACATATACGAGCTTATGGGCCGGGGATTTAGCTCAGTGGTTTCACTGCCTGTTGTGCAAGCACTAGGACCAGAGTTCAATCCCCAGTACCAAAAAAAAAAACCAAACATATACGAGCTTACATATTAAAACAAAACTTGTATTTCTCAGTATGTTCTTTGGGTAGCTATGAATTTTTTCAGCGATGCTGTCATTGTTTCTAAATATTTTGGGAACTCATTGAAATTCTAGAAGGAGTAAAGGCATTCAAAAAAGGTTTAAAAAACTTTCCTTACAAGAGAAACACATACCTGTAGAAAGTTCAGACAAATGAAGAAACCATAAATAAGGAAGTAATATCATAATATTATCACACAGAGAACTGCTGTTAACTAAATATCCAAGATTTTTTTTTCATTACCAGAAATTGAACTCAGGGCCTTGCGCTTGTCAGACAGGCACAGAGCTGCTGAGCTACATCCCTGGTTTTTTGGGCTTTTTTTTCCTGGTACCAGGGATCGAACTCAAGACCTTGTGCTTGGCAGGCAGGCTTGGGGCACCACTGAGCTACATCCTCGGCCCCCTAAGATTTTTTTTTTGGTACCAGAGATAGAACTCAGCACCTTTCGCTTGAGGCAGGTGGCGGCACCACTAAGCTAAATCCCTGGCCCCCCTGAACTACTTTTTATGATACTGTGCCTAAAAAAATAAATAAATAAAATAAAATAAGTGCTTTCTACCAGAATAAGAAGGAAGATAGCTTGAGGGCATTCAGGAATCAGCAAGGCTCCACCAATCACAGGCTCAAGGGTCCTCTGAAAGACTTTGCTTTGAGAAAAAGAGTCACCAGGTGCCCTGCTTCCTCAGGGATACTCAGGGAAATGTTTCCTGGAATCCAGCTTCCCAGGCACTCAGAGGGTGCTGTGCTCCAAGGGGCCCAGAATACTGTCTGTACGGACAGCAGACCTGAGCACCATCCACACGGTGCTGCCTTTGCAGGAATGCAAAATGCAGGAGTCGTGAGGTCACAAGAGGCTTCAAAGAAAGGCCCGGGAGACCATGCTATGTGTTACAGGGTTAGAATCCCTTCCAGGAGCTGCAGGGGAGACCCTGGGATGTTGGAGAATTTGGAATGTCTGTTGAGGAAAGCTGCAGGCAGCAGGTGAAACCAGCCCAAGAGAGAGGCCATGTGGGCTGTGACCAGCAAGGCCAAAGGGATGGGGCTGCCCAAGCCCTTTGTTTTGCTTTTATACAGGGTCTCGCTATGTAGTTCAGGGTGGTCTTGAACTCACAATGTAGCCCAGGCTGGCCTTGACCTCACAATGATCTCCTGCCTCAGCCTCCCGAGTGCTGGGATTACAGGTGTGCGCCACCTCACCTGGCTGCCCAAGCCCTTTGAGCTCACACCGTGCCACCATGTCCCCTGAGTGGACGACATGGAGCTACAGAACTTAATGTGTGCCCTGCTGGGTTTGGATCTTGCTCTGGTCCTCCCTTTACGAATGAGAATGTTCATCCTATACCATTATATTTCAGAAGGATGCAATTTGCTGTTTTAATTTTACAGAGGTTAACAGGTGAGAGTTTGCCTTCAGTCTCAGAGGACACTTTTGAACAATTCTTTGTAGCCCCAGGATGTAGTTATAGGAATACAACTGCTTGTTGAAAATGGGCTAAATGAACAGTCTAGATGCAGCTAAATTGTTATTAGCAAAATATGTGCCAATTGTTTAACACTGCCATATTTATGCCTCATTCAGGGAAGAATTCATATCATTATCATACTCTGAGTAATAAATACTGTAGCTCCAAGCCCACCCACAAAGAAGGCAAAAATTTCATCTGTCTCAGTTCTAAATCAAAGTTCTACCCCTAGTCAGCCCTGCTATGAGTATCTGTTCCTTCTTACTTTGGACTCTAATGTTACAAGATACACTTGCTCTTTACCCACTGTGTTTACCTTCTGGACTCCCTCGTTTCTGTTTTTTGCTGACTAGTCAAAATATATATCAGCTATGTGCTCATCCCTCATCTCCACCAGCCAAAGCTGATTCCATCAGCACTTGTTTGGATTCTCCTTACACCTGCATCCTTCTTATGTAACTTCCACATAGCAGTCTTTTAAAAAGGTAAAGCAGGGCCAGAGATTTACCTCAGTGGTGCTGCTGCCTGCCTCGTAAGCGCAAGGTCCTGAGTTTGATCCCTGGTACCAAAAATACATAAATAAATAGACAGACAAACAGACAGATAAAGTAGATCATCCCACTTTCATATTTAATACTCGGCATAGATTTCCTACTGCTAACAGAATAAAATTCAAACTTCTTACCATGACCTCTAAGGTTCTATAGGATTTGGCTTTCTCAAACATGGTGCATAATCTACATACAGGATGAACATTTACCTGTTTAGGAAGTGCCAAGGAAACCTCACAAGTATATTAATGAGTAAATCTTTAGTTCAAAAGTTTTGAATAAGCTGAATTAACATTTGAAAAGAATGTATATTTTACTTATTTATTTATTTTTGGCACCGGGGATAGAACTCGGGACCTTGCGCTTGCAGGGCAGGCGACGGAACCACTGAGCTAAATCCTCGGCCCCGGAATGTATATTTTAAACAAATTTACCTGATCTATCTGATCCTGTTGTCCTTTGTATACAGTTTCAGGATCTGAAGGAGGCCTCAGATGAAATTCTGAGTCACAGAAGTTTCCATCACCATCTACATTGTGCAGGCTTTCCCAAACAACTTTCTCTTCAGTCAGAAACCCCTGGTCTGTTACCAACAAATATAGCTGACCCTTAATAAAAAATAACAAAAGGAATGTTAAATTTTTCAAAAATAGCAAGTATTTACGGTAAATTTTGATTTGCATGTTTATGTATATGAATTATTCTTACCAGCCAGATCTGTACAACATAATAAATAGATCAAATACTAGGGTTTTTTGGGATGTATCATTCATTCATTCACTTATTGTACTGGAGATGGAACTCATTTTATTTTTTTGGTACTGGGGATCGAACTCGGGACCTTGCGCTTACGAGGCAGGTGGTGGCACCACTGAGCTACATCCCTGGCCCTCCGGCCTTTATTTTTGACAGTTACTCAGCTGCCCAGCCTGCCCTCAAACTTGTGATCCTTTCACCTCACTCCCCTGAGCAGCCAGGATTACATGGGTGTGCTATTGTGCCCAGCTCAAGTAAGAGATCTTGTTTGTTCAAATCCACCTGGCTTTGAATGCAGTTTATAATTAGCACACTGTAGTGTAACAAGAAAGAGGAGCTCTTGGCATACCAATTAATATGACTGTAAACAGCTTTGGGGAGGTTTGTAATCTCACCTCACAAAATACAATATAATCAAAGGTCATGAAAAACACATCAGGTAATAAGACAGCTGCCACAAAATATCAAATTGCCTTTTGTTTTTTAAAGTTAAGTCTATATGAGTAATTAAATCCATAGTGAGTGTTCCTTTACACCATTAATACTCTTGCTTTGTACGTCAACAGTACTTTGTGCCTATTACTATTTAGCACCAAGTCACTTGGCACTATAAATGTGTTCTCTTGCTGTTACCCAGGCTGTATTTTTATTTTACTTTAGTTTTTGGTGCTGGGGATTGAACCCTGGGTCCACTAAGTCCCCAGCTGTAGACTTGATTTTAAAATCTCTCTTATCTCTGAGTCTAACAAAAAGCACACCCAAAGTATTTAGTACAGAATTGTGCACCGACCATTAATTTTTCGTGTGTTAGTTCTGCTCCGATCATGTAAACTTCACATTCCTGGCACACATAGTCTCTGTAAACCATTTTTTTCTTCAGGTTTGCTAAAGATATGACTTTCTGATACTTGCTGAACGTTCTCATTGATTAACATAGTGTTTACTGCTCAAGAATCTTTTTTTTTTTTTTGGTACCGGGGATCAAACTCGGGACCTTGCGCTTGCGGAGCAGGTGGCGAAACCACTGAGCTAAATCCCCGGCCCCAAGAATCATATTTTACATGTTCTCTCAGACAGTTTTATACTACTACTATACAATATCTAAGCTTTACAACTTATTTCATGTAGATCATGCATTATGTTGGCTGATATTCATAATCTCAGTAATTTTCTCCAGAAGACAGGCAAAGATGGTGAACTTGGTGTCTTCTGCTGCAAGCTCTTACCCTCAACAGTGTGTGAATAGTGTTTAAAGGCTCTAACTGAAACAGTGCTTCTCAGAGTACAGAAACCTGACTTCTCATGAGCTGTTAGCTCCAATTTCTTTGTCCTGTGCATCCTGACATTTACCTTCAAAAATCTACAACTGATTCACTGTCAACAGTATAGATTATTACTGGATAAAGAAGATACTTTTTTTTATAAAATGGAGTACTATTCACCCATAAAGAATGAGAAACTAGAGACAGTTATAGCTAAATGGATGCATATTGAGGCCATACTCTTAAGTGAAATAAATAGGACACACGTGTAAATACCGAATAGTTTCTCTAGTGTGAGAAACAAAGTGTAAATAAGGATTAAAAGGATTAAAACGAATAACTGATAATTTGAAACAGGAAAAGGTCCAAAGGTGTAGGGGTGGTGGGAGGTGAAGGGGAAAGGTAAGAAGGGAAAGGAAAAATTACGACAAAAGAAAAAAAATGGAAACGGACTCTATGTAAATAGGGGAGGGTGGAGGGGGTGAAGGGCGCACAGGTATTGGGGAAAAAAATAAGAACTAAGATACATCATGTAGAGGTACAAGCACCCAATGATAAATGTAAATGTACTGTATACCTAAAATGTACCAATAAAAGGATAAAAAAATATAGATTACATAATAGGCTTTTTCTATAATTATAGGATAGATAGCAAAATATCTATTGTATTGTATCCAATAGTTCAGTCCATTTCACTCTGAAAATCTAAGGCTAAATAACCATTAAGAGTATTTCTTGAGGGCCGGGGATTTAGCACAGTGGTTCCACCACATGCCTCAAAAGCGCCAAGGTCCCGAGTTCGATCCCCAGTACCAAAAAAAAAAAGTGTGTGTGTGGGTTAAGCTCAGTGTAAAGGCCTTGGATTCAATCCCTAGTACTACAAAAACAAGCCACCAAGATAATCTGTCCAGTTTAACTGTGTACAGTACAAAAAGGAGCACGTAGCAGAAACTAGGGGTATACTTATTTGTTGCCAGTGGGCAGATGAGGGATGCGGTTTAATGAAGGATTCGTGGAGGGTGCTGGGTGCTCTTAAAAGTAAGAAAGCAGGGGCCGGGGATTTAGCTCAGTGGTTTCACAGCCTGCTGTGCAAGCACAAGGACCTGAGTTGGATCCCCGGTACAAAAAAAAAAAAAAAAAGAAAGTATATCTTAAATTCTGTAGAATGAAATGTGTTTATACTATAGATGTTCCAAAGAGTTCACAGGGATAGAAAGATGGGAACTAAAATGACCATTAAATATAAATTATAAAATGCCCCTAAAAACTCTGGGTTTTTGAAAAATAAATATTGGAAGGCACTATGAAAATGTAATGTAGTATTAAAGTAGTCTTATCTTGCTTGAAAAAGCAGCTATTTTATTTTATTACTTATGTCATGTTTTCTGTTTTTTCCTCTCTTTTCTCCTTTTTGTTTTTTTGGTGGGGATTAAACCCAGGGCCTTTGCACTTAACTACATCTCCAGCCCTTAAAAAAGAATTTTTTTTAAAGCCCAGCATGGTGATGCACATCTGTAATCCCAAGACTCAAGAGGTTGAGGCAGGAGGATCACTGTGAGTTTGAGGCCAGCCTGAAAATCATAGTGAGAACCTGTCTCAAAAAACCAAAAAAAATTTTGGTCACTGAGTTGCTAAGGCAGGGCTAAAATTTATGATCCTCCTGCCTCAGCTTTCCAGAGTGCTAGGATTATAGGTATATGCCACTACACTAAGGTACTTACATCCTTATTTTATCATAGATTCCCTCAGGCCCAAGTTTATAAGGAAAGACAAACAGCCAAGAAGCCCAGCAATTTGTGGGAGAGAATAAGTTTAATGTTAAAGAAATTTAAAGAACAAAGGAACAATCCTCCATTCTATCCATTTTAGTGCCTAGATTGCCTCTTTTCAAGTAAAATTCCTGAAAAGGGATTTTTATTTTATTTTTTTGAGACAGGGTCTCGCGTTACTCAGGCTGGCCTCGAACTCGCTGAGATCCTCCTGCCTCAGCCTCCTGAGTGCAGCTACATCTGGCTCTTGTTTTAGTTTAGGTTTTTGTTTGTTTTGGTATTGAGATTGAACCTAGCACCTCCTGCATCCAAGGCAAGTGCTCTAGTGTCGAGCTACATCCCCAGTATTTGCTCTGGAATATTTAAAGCATTCCTGTAGAGCTTCTAGTCCTATATCCAAAGCCAAAATTAACAGTACCAATTCTGCTGTAAATCAGTCCTGGGTCAATGAAGAGGAAGTGTCTCTGCCCCCTGTCAAGAATGCATTCACTGGGCACTCTGCCAAGACTGGAAACAAGGCACAAGAAAAACAAAGGAAAAAAGAGCCAAGAGGATTATAGCAAGGCATAAGTAAATAAATAGCCCAAATGGCTACCGGTCCCTGGAAAACACCAGATTGGGATCACGTCAACAGGGAGTCACTCTACTAAATGCAAGGCATGATCCTTGATTAGATCCTGGCTTGAACAAACCATCTATAAGATTGTTTGGGGAAATCTGAATATAGCCCAAGTATTAAATGATATTAACAATTTTAGCTAATTTTATTAGATGTAAAATAATACTGTGATTTGAAATGAAAACATTCTTGTTTACTGATGCATATAGAAGTATAAGCAACAAAAATATAAAAATAGGGCCGGGGATTTAGCTCAGTGGTTTTGCCACCTGCTGCGCAAGCGCAAGGACCCGAGTTAGATCCCCAGTAGCAAAAAAAAAAAAAACCCCATAAATTTCTTTTAGGGCCGGGGATTTAGCTCAGTGGCACTGTGCCTGTATATATATATATATAAATATATATATATAAATATATATATAAATAAAAGCAACATAAAACAGCATAATGTTAAAATTGTTAAATGTTTCATTGGTTTTCTGTAACTCTGTAACTTTCCTAAGATGAAAATGTAAAAAACTGTGTAACTGAGGATAGGGGAGTTGCTCTCAGTGGTTTAATCCCCAGCATGGTCAAAACACAACACAACACAACACACATATAAATCACCCAAAACAACAGTGTTACTATTTTGATTTGGTGATCTCTATAATAAACTGGCACGTTCCCTAGTGACTGGCTACTATGATGTTGTTCCCATTATCCCGTCTACAGGAATAAAGAATAAAGGTGTTCTGTATTTATTCCTATAACTTTGGACAATATCATTATATCCTTAATACCATCATATCTCTGAACTCTTCTGTTCTTGTACGCTTGTTGTTCTCCCTTAATAAAGCCCTGAACCTAACATTACAAACTAGCTACTTTCTCCACACCTACACTACAGAAAAATTAACAACTGCCATATTCACTTAATAATTACCGCCCTTTGGGGGTGCAGCTCAGCAGTAGAGAGCCCGCCACATGGCCCTGAGTTCAATGTCCGGCACCAGAAAAGGAACCCTCCCCACAAAACCCCCAAACCAAAATCAAAATAACTGATGCTCAGGTCCCTCCTCCAGGGCTGATTTAAATGAACTAGTGGTGTGTTCTGGGCACTGGCAAGTTTTTAAAAGCTCCCCAGGAAGTTCTAGTATACAAACTGAGTTGAGAACCATTGGTTTAAGGAGAGAAGGGGTAGCTTTACTGCCAACCTCATATTCGAAATGCATCTTAAAAGATGGGTATGGAGGGGGCCCATGCTCAAACCCAGGGCCTTGCACATACTAAGATGGGCAAAAAGGAATGAGAAGATCTTTTGCAAACAGGGATTAAAGAGCAAGAACAGCAGCAGTGAAGGTACAGAAATGAGAAAGCACAGAGTGTGTGGGGATGGAGGACTGTAAGTGAGGAGACAGAATTTTGGGTGGAGCAATGTTGGCACAGGGGAGCAGCAGAGCATATCCTGCACTCTACCCTCCAGGCACTAGGTGCTGTAGGAGGGACATGCTTGGAAGTAGCCATCCACCACTAAAGTCAGATACAAGGGACCAGGGCACACCCATACAACGAAAGGGACAGAGGCAAAAGATGACCAAAAAAAGGGTAAAGCAGTATTTTTTATTTTTTGGCAGAGCCACAGATACTACTATAGGAAGAATTTATCTATCTATTTATTTATTTATTTTTGGTACCAGGGATCGAACTCAGCACCTTGCAAGGCAGGCGGCAGAACAGAACCACTGAGCTAAATCCCTGGCTACTATAGGAAGAATTTAAAGTCAGACTAATAACTTTGATAATAGCAAACACTATTATAAAGGTACATTTTTTTAAATTCAATTTTGTTGTTGTTGTTTTTTTGAGACAGGGTCTCACTACATAGTTCATGCTGGCCTTGAACTCATAATCTTCCTGTCTCAGCCTTCTGTGTGCTGGGATTATAGGCATGTACTACCACACCTAGCTCTTTTTCTTTTCTTTTTTTTAAATACTGAGTCTTGCTATGTTGTTTGGGCTGGGCTGAAATTCAACATCCTTCTGCTTCAGCCTCCAGAGTGGCTGATAGTGCGGGCACGTACTATCATGTTCAGTTTAATGCAAATCTTAATTCTTCTAATTTCCTTAAATGTTCAAATATAAACAGCCATTATTAAAAGTCATCCTTGGGCTGGGGATTTAGCTCAGTGGTTCGCACCTACCTTGCACCTACCTTGCAAGCGGAAGGTCCCAAGTTCCTTCCCTGGTATCAAAAAATAAAAAAGTCATCCTAGTTCTATCTCTAGGTACTTGGTATCGAACTCAGGACCTTGCGCTTGCAAGGAAGGCAGTGGAACCACTGAGCTAAATCCCCAGCCCTCTAGGTACTCTTTTCTCTTAGAAAATACTAAGTACATCCTTTTTTTTTTTTGGTACCGGGGATCAAACTCGGGACCTTGCGCTTTCGAGGCAGGCGGTGGAATCACTGAGCTAAATACCCAGCCCCGTAAGTACTTCTTAATGTAGTAGTCTGTGAAAAAGAAGTTGAGAATTTAAAAATAAAAACTGACTTGAGATAATGCTTCAACTGCTAATTCATCCATCCCCTTCTAAAGAAGTACTGAACCATTACCTTCACAATTTGATGGTTAAGGAATATTATACTGAAATCTTTTATTTTAAGCAGATTAAATATATCTCTAAATTAAGCTCCTTTGATTTAGAATAACAATTAAACAGCTATTTTTTATCATACCTTGTACTTGGTCATGGTGCTAAAATGATTATTCCGAAAGAACACACAGAGTTCTCCTTCCTGAACGGTTGAAGTTAGTTCACATAATCCATGGTATGTCAGTTGAGTGGCTGTATTGTTTAGAAACTGCTCAGCTACAAAGCCTATGGAACCAATGCATAATATTAGATGGAAGAATATGTTAAAATTTAAAAATTATTCTTTTATTTACAATGTGCTCACATGTGTAGAATGCCAACTGATATAAGACTTTTCCTATTATATGATAGCCCTAAGTTGGAGATTCATCTTTCTAATCTCCTATGGAAATTATGTGTATAGTCATTCCCATCCTAAAATAAATACAGGAAATTGTTTTTACCAATAAATACATTTACTTAAACTTCACCTACAAAAAGGATTTCTGGCAGCTTAAAATATAAAACATAAGACACAATAACAATAAATCCAGTCAAGCAAATAAAAAGGTAGGAGTTAGAAATTTAAAAGCGGGTTGGAGGGCTGGGGATTTAGCTCAGCAAGTGCAAGGTCCCGAGTTTGATCCCCGGTACCAAAAAAAAAGTAGGTTAGAAAGATGAATGTCCAACAGCTATTTCCTCAATGGTTAGGTGTTTAGAAATTAAAAGTAGCCTTATTACTGTAAATTGAGTTGCTTAAGCTTCTAATAAAGATTCTAGATAATTCACAACTCTTGTGCCTAAGACTGGACAGAAACACTATTTTATCCTGATTTCCTCCAACATATGCCATTCATTATGTAGTACAATAAGTTCAGAAATTCTTTCTTGTCTTTCTGAAACAGAATGAAACACAGAAGTTATCTGAGGTTTATTTTAAAAGATATGCACATGCTTGATCCTCATCATGTGCACACTCCTATGTGTGAGTCTATGTACTGGCTAAGAGTTATTTGTAAACACTCCAAATCAATACCTTACCACTTTCATAGTCAATTTGTAGACATGTGAAGACAGGCAAAAAATCTGAACTACCCAACACACACATTCCCAGCTGAGGTCAAACAAGGCAGTATTCTTTCTGCCTTGTTCCAGTTCTCACACCATCAACAGGTATCCTTTTCACGGACTACTAAGTGCTATGGCAGGCAGAGTTTTGTGCTTTCTGTTTGAAATGTGCTGCCCAAGCCTAAGACTGAAGTGCTGGTTAGTGCTCCTAACAGTGGTCCTAAGTAGACCAAGGCTGTGATGTGCCTTACAAAAAATACAGGCTACCCAAGCTTTGTTCAGGCATGAGTTTAATGATGAAGAATCAATCAATAATATGTATTAAGCTGAAACATGAAGTTACTGATTGGCTGAGAAAAATGTGACTGGAATCTCACAAGAAGCTAAGCCTGTATCTCCCCAGGAACAGTGGTTCTGCATTCACTAATTCCTCATTCGTGGCAACTGTATAGAAAACACCTACTGCAAATAAGGAGAATAAACTGTATACATTTTTTTTGGTACTGGGGATCAAACTTAGGACCTTGTACCATTGAGCTAAATCCCCAGCCCCTGTATACATATTTTAAAAACCTGTATTTCTCTCTCTCTCTCTCCTTTTTGTTTTCTTCTTTTGGTAAGGAAGAAACATCTCAGGAAAAGTAGGCAGGGAAACTGTTCTAAAAAGTCTTATAATTGAGGGGCGGTGATTTAGCTTACTGGTTCCACTGCCTGCCTCGAAAGCGCAAGGTCCCGAGATCGATCCCTGGTACCAAAAAAAGAAAAAAAAAAGTCTTATAATTGAGTTGAAAGATACAGGGAGTAAAGATGAATCTGTGTTAAGAAACCTCAATAAGGGCCGGGGATTTAGCTCAGTGGTTTTGCTGCCTGCTGCACAAGAGCAAGAACCTGAGTTCGATCCCCAGTACCAAACAAACAAACAAACAAACAAACAAAAAGAAATCTCAATAAGAATTTGAATATGAATGTGGCAGGGCCTGAAGCAGCTGTGTAATACTCTACAGATTTATTGTACCCCTCTCCAGTTCTTGGTGCCAAGCCATGGTACTTCACTGCACAGTGGTGGAGAAGTTACCAGGGCAGCGTGCTGTTCCAAGGTCTCGGTCCTGGCTAAGGCTAAGGCAGAAGAGCAAACATTGTAAGGCAGGCTTGCAACTTCTTATGTTTATACACTCAGAAAGAGTGGCAGTTACCAAGTGGAAAGGATTAAAGCTTTTATCACTCTGTAGCATTCTAATAGGAAGCATTAGGCTTCTGTTAAGAAGTAGCATTCCTAGCTGCAAGAGCCATGTTATTAAATGTCTCCTTCAGCTAGGATATACCTCAGCCAAGCCCTAAATTCAATTCCTTGTACCAACAAAAATTTAAAAAATTTAAAAACAAATATTGGGCCAGGGATTTAGCTCAGTGGTTCCACTGTCGTGAAAGCACAAGGTCACGAGTTCAATCCCTGGTACCAAAAAAAAAATGTTTCTTTCAGAAAGATGTTTCTAAATGCCCTTTCCACCCCACACTAGCTTAACATCCTCTCTACAAATCTTTTTCAAAAAGATATAAAAACTCAGAGGAGGGATGCTTACTTTCAAGTTAATGTGAAATTTAAAAAATTTAACAATAGAAAGGTATTTCAGGGGCAGCGATTTTAGCACAGCTGCTGCTTAAAAAGAACAGGAACGGGCTCATAAATGATTTGCCTAACGTCAAAAACACTAGTTATGATAAAAAGTGAAACCCAGGAGAATCATTACTGGCATTAAAATATTTAAAAATTTAATGCAGATGATCTCGATACATTCCAACTGAATTACATATCTCCCCAAATTGAAAAATACAGTGTTGTTAGGAAGTGTAAGAAACAGTATTTTCTGGGCTGGAGATTTAGCTCAGTGGCATCGTGTCTGGACCTTGCAAGGTCCTGAGTTTGATCCCCAGTACTGAAAAAAACAAAAACAATATTTTCTGTAAACCCAGCACTTGAAAGGCTGAGGCAGGAGGATTGCTTTGGGTCTGAGGCCATCCTGGGCTACATAAAGTATGAAAGCCCCAAGTGCTTTCAAGAAAGTGAAGTCAGGGCTGTGGAGGCACATGCCTGTGATCCCAGTACTCAGAAGCCAAGGCAGGAGGATCACTTCGAGTTCAAGGCCAGCCTGAACTACATAGTGAGACCCTGTTTAAAATAAAACAAACAAAAAAAATGCTTTGCAGACTTATTAATTACAAAAACAAAAGGGCATTGTTACAGTAAAAACCAAATTTAGCAGGTACCACCCTTATCAAATTTAAACATCACTGGGCCGGGGATTAGCTCAGTGGTTCCGCTGTTTGCCTCAAAAGCGCCAAGGACCTGAGTTCAATCCTCCGTGCCAAAAAAAAAAGCTATGTCACATTTTTTTTTTTTAAAGCAGAAAGGAAGAAAGGAAAAGCATCAGAGATCTATATTACATGACACTAAAGAGATACGACAACTAGATAATGCCCACTTTAAGGGGCATTATTGGAAAACCCAAAGAATTCTGAATATTAACATTTTATTAATAATATATCAATGCTAAATTGCCTGAGATAATTAATTATACTGTAACTATACAGGAGAATCTTACACAGGAGAATTCCTTTTTCTTAGGACACAAATGATGACTTAAGGGTAAAGTGCTACGATATTTGCAAATGATTCTTATGTTATTTAAGAAAAAAGAAAGTGTATGTAGAAACACAGAAAAATAGCAAATAGCTGGGCGTGGTGCCATATGTCTGTGTTCCCAGGACTCTGGGAGGTTGAGGCAGTATTGCAAATTTGAGCCCTGCCTAGGCAATTCTGCAAGACCCAAAATAAAACAAAACAAAACAATACAGACAATAGCAGCTCATTTCGAAGGCTCTGGGTTTAAGCCCCAGTGTACCACCCCCAAAAACCCAACTAATCAAGAAACAAACAACATGGGGGCCGGGGATTTAGCTCAGCGGTGCTGCCGCCTGCCTCGAAAGCACAAGGCCCCGTGTTCGATCCCTGGTACCAAAAAAAGAGAAAAGAAAAGAAACAAACAACAAATATACAAAAAAACTCAGCAAATATTTACTGTAAATAATTGGTGAATTTAATTAAACAAGTAAAATGTTCATTGTAGTAGTACAACCTTTCTTATGGGTTTGAGATTTCTCAAAATGAAAGGTTGAGAAAAGGAAATACTATTTAATAAAAATATTATTAATTTAAGCTATAATATTCAGTGCTTATAGCATATAATGCAGGATTAATAAATATTTGAATAAGTTGATAAATATCCTAGAATTATTTTTACAGATATTTCTGTTGTAGAAATAGTTGTTAAACAGTTATTCCTCACAGAGCATCTGGAATTAAATGACCAGCTAGCTAGCTGAAGCCTGGCAGTGAGACTGGACTATTTTGGTTTTTTCTTACTGATTTTTGCTGCTATGCCACAACCTGTCATTATAACCAGATTCAAAATACTGTATCAAAAGAGGTGGCAGGCCAGGGATTTAGCTCAGTGGTGCTGCCGCCTGCCTCGCAAGTGCAAGGTCCTGAGTTTGATCCCCAGTACCGCAAAAAAAAAAAAAAAAAAAAAGTGGCCAGGGATTTAGCTCAGTGGTTTCGCTGCCTGCT